TTGACTATTCTGGGTGCATTGGTATTTGTGCATGTTCTTATTCTTTGCACTTTATATCAATTAGCTGCTTTTCAAATAAAAGTGTGACAAAAACTAAGATGCAAAGATCATATTGGAGACAATGGGATTTGGTTATAAGACTGATGAAATATTCCAGAGTAAGGCTGTGAGGTATAAAATACTCCTATGGAGACAGAGAGAAGTCAAACCACAAGCTCCTAGTGAGATGACCTTAATAGTTATTTGTATGTCCATTCAGACTGCCATAACAAAATACCATAGGCTGGGTGGCTTAAACAAAAGACATTTCTCTCACATAGTTCTGGAGCCTTGAGAAGTCCAAAAAGGGGGAGCGTGACAGAGACTGACTTTGCTCTCACTATAACTTTTCTTTTAAAGACACTAATCTTAATTTCATTTAGAAGGTTCCAACCTAATGACCTCAATTAACCCTAATTATCTCACAAAGTTTCCACAAATGTGTAGTTATAGTAGTATACTTTACATAATATAGTTGCTGGATTCTGTGAATGACCTTATTACTTTCCCTGGTTGTAAAAGTCACTCATGCAATGTGACCTCAGAGGAAAGGAAGTAATGATGGGAAAGATAAAGGTACTATCATGTACCTCAGAGAACTTCAGGAAAATAATTTCTTGAGAAATGGCCTCAACTCAATCCCACTTCAAGAGCACTCTTCTAAATCCTCAAAATCCTTACAGGGAACAACTTGTCCTCCATAAGAAAAACCTTTGGAAAACCATTTCAACACTGGTTTCTTCAGTCAATATCTGTCAGAGTGGAATAGTCAAAAAATACTTTTTCCATGCTTCATATTGAAGGAAAAGAATTATTGGACAAGTTAAGGGGGTGTCAGGGTCCTAACCCAATCTTACAGGTATAGTGTTGCCTAGGAGACAGGATGGCAACTGTTACCACAGCATGCAGGAGGGCACTAGAGTCACTGGTTAAATTTGCTCAAAGATGGTATCAGTTCTGGAGATCATGTGGCTAGAAAGAACGACCCTTTTGCAGAGGATGGAAAGAGCAGATAATACCACAAGAGAGTTGATAAACACTAGATGTGATTTATTCCATATCCTTATCAGAACTCCAGTTCCACCAGATTCTACTACAATGGAGAGGGAGACTATTTCCTCTCTGAAATCTGTAGCCTCAGTGCAAGCACATCTACTGTCCCAGGTGTTAGGCATTCCCCATGCTCCTAAGTTTTATGAAATATGACCCTCACATGGAAGACCTGGAGGGAGAGATGGACAGAGGAAAATGAAGCAAGAAGACAGAATGGATGTGCTGGCCCCATGGCTTGTTCTGCATTTCCATAGGGTAGTGCCAACTGATATTATAGGGTCCCTATGCTGCTCCTCAAATTAAGGGAAGGTGAGGCCTCAACTATTATGATACCACTAGTCACAGAAGGGTCTCTGGGATTTTTGGTTTGACAATTGATAGTTTGCCTTAGGAAGTTTCAAGAAAAGGATTCAATATTAAATGGCACTACTAGGACCCAAGGATTTCTGATCTGTAATCTACCGTGTAAATGGCTAATACATTCCCATGAATATAAATGTTCGTGGATCATTTAAAACAGAAAACCATAAAAGAGGCCCATGTGGATACAAGTTGATATTTGAGAATCCTGTCATATAGAGTATGCTGGTGGTAGCTGCATTAGCCAAAGTGAGAAAATCAGAGTCAATCTTTAAACAGAATCCTCCCAATCCTATTTCCATGCCAGTCTAGAAGCAACAGAGAGGTCCAGTTAATTTCCTCTCCTTCTCCCAGCTCACCTTCCTTCTTGGGGAAGTAGGCTTGGATACATAGCCCTACTAGGTCACCATATATTGTCAAACTCCCTTCTCTAATAGCCAATACTAGAAGGGAGACCAGCCAGATGACCCCAATATGTGTTCAAAGAGCTTCCTTAAGTACACTCTTGGGCCTAGGAGACCAACCAAAGAATTTTCTAGTGATAGATCTCCTACTGTATCTTGGATTACTGGAAACTGGGAAACTCAAAACACAGCAAATTTCTAAGAACTTAATTACTTCAATTTTGGATTTGTTGGACCCATCAGGTCTGTGATTTATCTTATAAACAACATTTTCCCACAGAGAAAGTACTTAAGATAGTCCAAAGTTTCATTAGCTTCTCCTGAGGCCAAAAGCATTTTTTCTCCAACCCTCTCCTTCACGGGTATCAAACCACTGCTCCATTTCTGGAGTTTTCCTCTTCTTCCTCAGTCTGTGAGAGATCACCATCTACTGCCCAATAATTATAGCTCTTCCTACTTTCCCATTTAGCAATACTGGAATGACCTGACAACCTCAAAGTCTCCTAAATTGTTTGTCTCAGGAATAGTATAGAAAACTTCTACTCATGTGCTAAATCTCAGCTGAAATGCTTAAAGTAATGGCTAAGAGCAAGTATGATAGAACCAAAAGCTAAGTTATTGTCCTAACTCTGCTATTTATTTGGTGTGTGACCTTTGGGCAAGTTACTTAAGCTCTAGTTTAATTTCTTTGTCTGTAAAATGGGAGAAAGATTTGTACCCACCTTGAATAACTGGCAAGAGTTTAGGACTCAGAGCAGTGAATGCACATAGGAAACTCCATGGGACTATCTGTCATTACTTTGAGTCAAAGAACATTTCCACCAATCCCAGGAAAAGTAAGTCTACTTTCTCTGGCTACCATATGATCTGTACTGACCCAAGCTAATGCAACTGCCTGCATGTTTACATCACTGTATCCACCAGACTATAAACTTCTAGAAGGCAGCAGGGTCTTGTTAGTGCCACTCTATCTTCACCAAATAGCACAGGAACAAAACAGATTGAATTAGTTCTGTTATCATGCTGGTTTTGAAGTGCAAATTTGTTCAAATATTAGGGAACTAAGCATAATGTGAATTTCATGTTTGCTTATATGCGATTCCATTTTCCAGTGACTATATGAACACAGAAAACTGCACCCAGGTGAACTGAGCTGAGTAGGAAAACCCAGCATGTACACACCCCAAACACTTATCAGCCACCTCAGCTCACCACTTGTTATGAACTCCACCAATCTGTATCTGGTGTTAAAAACTCTTAATTTCAAGTAAGTCTCCCTCCCTGCTTCACAACAAATTCACAAGCTGCTTTCAGCACTCACTTCCACAAGGGAAACTCCAGGTCTTTTTCAAGGTAAAATATCATCTTTGTGTACATTCCAACCGTTTAACCATTTCACATGTACAAAACAATTCCAACATTTTTATTAGGTTTCTATTTTTTTCAAATGTGTTCCTGATGAAGTTTTGAAGTGTTTTTTCAAAAGCCCTGTGGTTTTTGTGTGATTGTGTATAGTACAGTGATTTTAAGGATGTCTCTTTATAGAAAGAACTGTACTGACAGTAGTCTGTGGTTGATAGCACGTAACTCTCTTCTCCACGGATAACTAAGGCTCCTAAAATGACAGTAGCCCACGTTAGATAACATAAGCTATTGAACTAGCAGCTCTATCCCACAGTTAAAAGCAATAAATTCATAGCCAACTGCATGGTAGACATTGCGATAAGCGATGAAGACACTGTGATTAATAGGAAGAAATGCCCATAACGCTTTCACGCTAGTGGGCAGATGAGAACAGTAATTACAGTACAGTGGGATAGACAATAGGATAAAGAATTATGTAGGGTCTTCTCTCCTAAACTCAGAAAGTCAGCAAAGACCTTGCAGAGGGAGTGTTCCTCTTTCCCAGATCTTTCCACTCAATGTCTTTGCTTGTCCCCTTCTCTGCCTCTTTACTTAACTTGCTGAGTTACTTAGTGCATTAGCTTTGAGCAAAGAGGCAGAGCAGGGAAGAGTTAATATGGCACAGGTGGGAGGGATAAGGGTCCTGAGAGAAGCAGGTAGAACAGCTACATAAAGAGCCCCACAGATACTGGTAAAGGTGAAGACAAGGCTGCCAACACATACTGTACAGGATCTTTCTCCAATCAAACCTTCTGCTTATGGTTTCTTCCTCTCTCAACATTTCAGAATCCATCTACTCATCCTGCCTCCTCCAACATCAGAAGTGCTTCTCCATATGCCTGTTACTCTGGATGAAGTGCCATTTCCTCCCTCTGTCACCTCCCCTCTGTGACACCCCAGGAACAAGACTCTAGTGGAATCCACTTCTAAACCGTGAAGAATGAAAGGAGACAAAGAAGAGAAGTTTCTTTTCTGGCTGCCATCTCTCTATCTCCATTGCTCCTCAGCTCCAACCTCAACTATCTATTTGGTGTTAAAGTTTACTATACCAGCATCAAATTCAAAATAATGTAAGCACCCTGTGCCCCCAAACCCACCAAGTTTTCTCCTTTCACTCTAGGCTCCCAGCTTCACACCAGGTTCCATTTGTATCCATTATAATTTCTCTTTCGTACTCTGACTCCTTGCTTTTTGGAGCGCTGGTGCCCAGAATGCTAGTGCTAGAAAACATTTAGATGTGCCCATCTCTATTATAGTTGAGAAAGTTGAGACCCAGAAGTCCCTCTCAATGATCCATAGTCTGCCCAACACTGGCTTTCTCTTCATCTACAGAAACTAAGACTGACTACTTGGACTCTGAGGGAGATCATTCACTTCAGCTCTACCCTCAGCTGACTTCCAGCTGGAGGGCTCTGGCTGTACTAGCCACTGCAGCAGTCACCAACTTCCTTAGTACCTCTTCTTCACTACCACTACCCCTGCCCTCCTCTACAGCACTTGGAGGTTTTCAGAAGCAAAGGATTCTCCCATCCTAGCTGAGGTTGTGACCTTCATTATCCATCCAACCTCTACTTTCCTCCCCCCAAGCAAAGGTATACGCCTGTGATGTTCCCAGTCCTTTACTACTCCTATATATACACAATGGATGGGTTCATGCCACTGTGACAGCCCTAAAAGCTCTTTTTGTCCTCCTGTTAGGAAACATGCCCCCATGAGCCCTACAGCTTCATCCCCTACAGCATGGTAGACATTCTACACTCCAACTCCACCTTGCTACACCCAGCTTTCTTCATACTGACAGGCATCCCAGGATAAGGGGATGCCCAGGCCTGGCTGACACTGGTGTTTGGGCCCATGTATCTGCTGGCCCTGCTGGGTAATGGGGCACTGCTGATAGTGATATGGATAGACCCCACACTGCACCAGCCCATGTTTCTACTCCTGGCCACACTAGCAGCCACAGACCTGGGCTTAGCAACATCTATAGTCCCAGGGTTGTTGGCTGTGTTGTAGCTCGGACTCCAACCTGTGGTATACACTGCCTGCCTGATCCAGATGTTCTTTGTACATGTATTGACTGCCGTGGAGTCTGGTGCACTTTTGGCCATGGCCTGTGATCATGCTGTGGCTATAGGGCGTCCACTGCACTACCCTATCCTAGTTACTAAAGCCCGTGTAGGCTATGCATCTTTAGCACTGGCACTAAAAGCTGTTGTTGTTGTGCCCTTTCCTCTGCTGGTAGCATGATGTGAGCACTTCCAGACCAAGATCATACACCATGCCTACTGTGCACACATGGCAGTGGTAGAGCTGGTGGTGGGTAACACACAGGTCAACAACCTGTATGGGCTGGCACTTTCACTGGCTGTGTCAGGTGTGGATATTCTGGGCATCGCTGGCTCCTATGGGCTCATTGCCTGTGTTGGGCTTCGGCTGCCGACCTGGGAGGCTTGTGCCAAGGCCTTTGGTACATGTAGTTCTCACATCTGTGTTATTCTTGCCTTAATATGTGCCTTATCTCTTCTCCTACCTCACACACCGCTTTGGGCATCACACTGTCCCAAAGCCTGTGCACATCCTTCTGTCTAACATCTATTTGCTGTTGACACCTGCCCTCAACCCCTTGATCTATGGTGTCTGCACCAAGCAGATCAGGGACAGGCTCCTTGAAACATTCACATTCAGAAAAAGTCGGTTCTAACAGTAATAACCATGGGGACTTGAGGTAGAAGAGGGGGACACTTGGAGCAAAGTCTGGAATCTGAACATGTGGGTTATGTTGTCTTTGTCTCATTGTGTGCACATGACCATTTTAACCACTCAAGAGATATTTGCTTTGAAGCCCATATTGGCATCAACAGACTTCAGCCTAGCCATGTGTCCTGCTTGGGAGGAGGCAGAGGCAGGAGGCTACACATTATTATGCAGGGAAAACAGGAAGAGGAGGGAACTAGTTGAGATCATGAGATCTGAAAGAAATCTCCCTTTACTGCCTGCACATCCATTATTTAAACCACATCTGCCTAAGCAATTCTACAGATCCCAAACTTGGAGACTTGGGATTGCCAGAGTAGACTGCCTCTGGAGTCAAATTTGTTGGTACTTGTCTGGAATCAAAGTCCTCCCTACTCTTGGAGCCAGATTCTGTTTCCAGCCTGTTCTCAAAGAAGAAGTTGTACAGGCTTATCCTCCACCTTCTGAGAATCTAGTCCTGTGGTGCCAATTTGTCCAGATCATGGGTTTTAAGACATTCCCAATTCAACCAATCCTCTTGTTCTCCTTCCCACACTCCCACCAGAGTCTAAGGAACTTCTTTCCCTGAGCCTGCAACTTCAGGAATTAGGAGCCCAAGTGAAAAAAATGTTGACATCCCAGAAAACTGCTGTAACCACATTACCATCTTGCCTGAAGTCAAGTCACCATGATTTCTTGAAAGTTATTGTAACCACATTACCTCCTTGGCTGAGGTCAAGTCACCATGATCTCTTGTCTACTGCCCTTTTGTGTTCTTCAGTCAAGAAAGTAAACTCTCCTAATAAAATCCCCATCAGAACTTCTGACCTGGTCCATGTCACTAAAAAAACATGTTGGTGCAATGATGAAATAGGAATATTTCACACTGCTGCAGCTGCCAGGGCACAGAGGTATTAAACAGGAAGTGTCATGGTGTTGCTTAATTAGGGATTCATTTTAAGCTAAGACTACATAATGGACTGTAAAACAAAAGGTCTTTCACACCAGCATGTTCAAAATTAGTATAATCTCATATAGAAGGCAGGGAATCATTGTAAGAGGTCAGAGAAAGCTGCAGTCTACACAGGCAGACCCAAGTTCTCCAAAAAAATTACCATAATTCAGATCACTGTCTGTGTTAGCCATGGAGACCTGCAGCCGGAAGCATCCCAGCTCATTCTGCAGGACCAAGCACCATGGGACACCACATAAAAGAGGTGAGATTTCTTTCAGTTACAGATTCTTTCAGGTCTACAATTATAGACCTGAAAAGGCAGAGATGATGCCACCTCTAGGGCCAAGTGGGTCTCATGCATTCCTTCTAAACAAGGAACTGAAGAGACAGCTTGAAAGATCTGCATGATTTTCAGGGATTTTCACAATGAATCCAAGTGAATGAGGAGAACATCTACAATCTACAATCAACACAACTGTGAGTTCAGTCATTCTCAAGACTAACTTTTTTCATGAAGTTCTGAATTTAAAAGCTCTCCAGCAGTGATTTTTGTGGATAACTGTAACAAAACACTAATCTGAATGTCATGAATTTTTATCTTTTCTTAGTGATTCTTGTTTAATAAACATATTCTGAGAAAATAATTGAGATGTGAACACATATGCAGTTAAGATATTTATTACATTATAAATTCCTGTGCAATTTTACCATGTCACACATACGTACACACCCATCACTTTTTGCCTTTTCCCTCCGATACATTGAATCATGTGCAACGTTCATAAGCAATGAATTTGGACACCCTTCCACCGCAGGAAGACTCTTCTAAGGCACCTTCAACCCTTGGTTGCGCACAATTCCAAGGTAGCTGGCTCCAAAATTATGCATTGTCCATTGTAAGAACTTTCTTCCTTCAAGTCAAAACTACACTCTTGACATTTATATTATGTTTTGAATTGAGGTTGCATACATACCTAACAGGTGATATGTCAAGAAAGCATTCCCACACTCCCTCATTCTTCATAATAACCTGAGAAAAATTAACTATATACCCACAGTTCATAACCCACAATTTAAAATTTAAAAATCTCTGAAGAAACAATAGTTTTCTTTCATAACTTTGGCTCAAATTCTAAACTCAATCATTGTGATCCTATGTATAGTCTTCATCTCATTTAGTATAAATATTTGCACATTTTATTGAAGAAAATGTCAGTATGTTTAATTACAGGGCACTGCCCTGAGTATCACTGGGGTATTTAACATATATGTACTATGTTCCCTTTTCATAATCTGAAAAATTCTCATTTCTAATACATCTGTCCCAAAAAGTTTCAAGTAAGGTGTCAACTTATATGATTATTCCTGTAGCCTGAGAAGTGAAGAGATTTGTTAGGGCTCTGTATCACTCTAAAGTCTTTACTGTCAACATATTCTTTACTGCCCAAGAGGTTTGTGTAGAGAATCTCATGTTCTCCTCATGCTCTCCATACAGGTCACCTTCCAAGGTGATCAGCGCCTCTTTGCCAAGGAGACCCCAGAATATTAATAGAAGTAAACCCCAGCAAGATATAGCCCAAACAGCCCTGTTTTGGGGCTCACCAACTGCATCCAAGTCTCAGTTGTCATCTGTCTTTCTTCAGAAGCTTTCAGTCTCAGACTCTATGAGCCAAAAGGAAAGACAGACTTATATCTTATTTCACTAATAACCCACCATTCCTGCATCTACCCCATCTACTCCCTTCTCATTTGGGGCTTCCCTTGTCATCTGTATGTGTGTCATTCTCTGCCTCTGCCTCTATCAGTCACTCTTGTTGTCTCTACCTTTACATCTCTGCCTCCTTGCACTGCCTGTCAGTTTTACCTCACATCTCTATCTCTTGTCCTTTTATACGTCTCTTCCTTGCTCTATATTTGTCTGTCTCCCTCACTCAGAATTCCTTCCTGGAAAGAATAGAGGCCACCAACTACACTAGATAACCTTTCCTTGTCAACCAAATAAAAACTGTTCTATGCAGGGTATGGTGGGGCATGCCTGTAATCCCAGCACTTAGGAGGCAGAAGAGAATCTTCAGGCCAGCCTGGGCTAATAGTGAGTTCAAGGCCAGCCTGTGCTACTTAGTAAGATCCTATCTTTAAAAAAGGTGAGAGGGCTGGGGATGTAGCTCAGTGGTAGAGCATGGTATGTGTAAGACCCTGTGCTATACTAGATAGCCCCAGCACTGCCCCCACCCCCCAAAAAAGAGCACTAAAGAACAGGAGGAGGAAACAGAAGTGGTTTCACTTGTCTTAAGAAATCTGAGGTTTCTGATGTGGTCTGTTGTGGCTTCTCTCTCATCCTTCCCATTTTCTTCTCATTTACTTCCCATTTACTGTGTACCTCCCCTACCATACACTAAAATGAGAAGGAACATGTTGAATTCTCTTTTCACCAAAAGGAAATTTAATGGTTAAAGCCAGAACATAGCAGACTTAGATTTAAATTCTAGATCCCTTATTAATTTACCATATACCTTGGGATAATTATTTAACTTTTCTGAGCCTTATCTTTCTGAGTCTTTTCTTCATATATAAAATGAGACAATAATAGTACCTACTTCAAGAGGTTCATAAAAGGATTACATAACATAATACATTCAGTATCAGGCATAGATCTTAGCACAGAAGAGTCCAATAAATATTTGATATTAATTCCTCTCCTGGAAAACAGGACCAACCCCACTGTCAACAATTTGTTCAGAGTCCTGGCACCCATACATTTAGCACTAAGAAGACCTACCTTCCCCAAGACCAATTATATCTCCTTTAGGAAATTTTCCTTGATAAACACTCTTTCCCATCACTGTAGAATACTTCTTCTCTGTGACCCCACAATGATACCACCTCAGGCAGCTGATGATAGCCAGCTCTGCAAAATAGCTCTATTCTGAGCCAAAGTGGCCCTATACGAGGAAAAAATGGCTACTAGAAAGGCTCTCTAGAGTGGAGAAGAACCACTCCTCTCCAGAAAAACTCTTAAGTTGGGATTTCTAGACAAAGACACAAGGGAGGTAACAGATAAGAGCAGGAGTAGTAGAGAAACCACCACACACAAATCAACTTAAGACAAGGAGTAAAGAAAATTATCCTCAAATTTATGTGGGTAATTCTAGATTCTTGGAAATTCTCCTAAGTTACTAAAGCAACATTATCCTAATCAGACTCATACCTTCTACATTGTCACTCCTCAGCATGGTACTCTCCTACACACAAACCTGCTTTCCACTGCACTTATAACCCACCCATTAGTAATAATATGTTAAGTCAAGCATGGCGGCCCATGCATGTAAGCCCAGCTACTTGGGAGGTAGAGATAGAAGGATCACAGTTCAAGCCAGCAAAGGGAAAAAGTCGGCAAGACCCTATCTCAATAAACAAGACAGGTGAGGTGACACACATCTATAATTCCAACTGCTTGGGAGGCAGAGATAGGAGGATCACAGTCTGAGTCAGGCCCTGAACAAAAAAGAGTAAGACCCTACCAGAGGGGGGAAAAAAATCTAAACCAAAAAGGGATAAGGATGTGCCTCAAGTGGCAGAGTGCTTGCCTAGCAAGCATAAGGCCCTGAAGAAGTGGGTTTCAACTTAGGCTACACATTAAAATTGCCTAAGGGACTTTTAGAAGTTATTATGCCCAGTTATACCACAGACCAATTAAATCAGAATCTTCGGGAATAGGAGACAGGTATCAGTACGTTTTAAAGCTTCTAGATAATTACAAAGTGTAGCCAAAATTGAAAATCAATGCTTTTATTTTTTTCCCCAGTATAACAAAAAAAAAACCTGTACTTCCATGTCCTTCAGGACCACAATCCAACCTCACAAAGAAGTCATTTATAGGTAACTAGCTAGCACATTGCTTCAAAAAGGCAAGTAAAAGGACAAGAGGCCAGATCCTGGTTCCCTAAAGAACTCAAACTGAGAACTAGACACACATACACATACACACACAGAGCTATACCTTCATTTTCCTTCTCTAAAGCAGGAGAGAGATAACTCAATAGTATAAACCACTTCCCAAAACCAGGGAGGCTGAAGCAGGAGGACTGCAAGTTTAAGGTCATCCTAGGCTAAAAAGAAAGAAAAGGTAGGAAAGAAAAGGAGCAAAGGAGAAATGGGAAGGAAGAGAGGGAGGGAGGGAGGGAGGGAGGCAGGCTGGCTAGAGATGTGGACTCAAAAGTAGAGCACTTGCCTAGCATGTGTGAGGCCCTGGGTTCAATCCCCAGCACTAAAAAAAAAAAAAAAAAAGAAGAAAGCTATGACCCACAGGCAGTAATGAGGCTAGAAAAGTTACTGTCCTCTCTCTACCTAAGACTCTATAAGCTGGCAGGACCTCTATGACCTCATGCTGCAGTAGGTCATGGCCCAGGGCCTGGGGTCTCATCTCCCTGGGGTTCCTGCAGCAGCCACTGCCCTCCCTAATCCTTCCCACACCCTACCATGTTGGTTAGTACACCGCATCTACTAACACTGGATGAAGCTGATGCCACCTGGACTCTCATCAAGGATAAGGTGAATAAAGTAAGGAAACTAAAGAGGGAGTGACAGTGTAACCTGTATGGATCGGAGCAGTTTGTGACTAGGAAGGGGTGGGAAGTCAAAGATAATAGTAACTAACATTTATTCAGTGTTTGCTTGTGTCAGGCACTGTGGTAAAGTGCTTTGCACAAACTATCCAATTTAATCACAACTGTAAAAACAGTAAGTTTCCTTAAGAGAAGTGGTAAGTTTAAGAATAGGATTTAGGAGGTCAGGAAGGCTTCCTGAAGAGTAATATTCTAGCCAGGAAAGGAAGAATTAGTCACACACACACACAAAGGGAGAATAGTAGCTGAAACACAGAGGTACATAATAAACACCTGAACAAATTAATGAGCAGATAGATGGGTAAATAAATAGCATACTAATTAAAAAATAGAATGTACGTAAAAGCCAGGAGAGGAAAAAGAAAAATATCTGTTTCCAAATTTGAACAGTCATCTTAAAGCAGTGTCCACGAGACTGAAAGCAGCCTTAATAGGATGTAATTTCCATTCCCTGAGAAGCTGACCACAAAAGCCAGCGAAGCAGAAACAGGAGAGCCACGGTCTTCCCAAGAATTAGAGTAACTGGTTTCAGTAGTGCGTAAGTTTGGACCTGGGCTGGACCAATTAAGTAAATGGGGTTTTCTATCAGAAAGCTGCATCATCTCTGAGTCTGAAAAAAATTCACTATGTATTTCAGTGGAAAATCAGGGCAGAGGTGTGCAGCACGGTGATATATGGGAAGTTCAAGAAGCAGGGCAACTTTGGTTTCTTGTCTCCAGAACTGCTAACAACTTACTGGTACTTTTAAGACATCTGGCTAAATAGCATGTGATTCAAGAGGCCCTCCCACCCCAATTCAGAATTCAAACCAAGGTATATCCAGAAAAGTAATCTAACATCACTTTCCTGGGCTGCTTCTGAGAAACAAATTTATAGACCTCTAAGGTCCATAGAACTTCTACCCAAAAGTAGTTCAGTAGGAGCAGATGATGATGATCTCAAATGGTGACGCTCCCAAAAACAGTCACCTAGCAAAGAACTGAGCAATAGAGTTTTAATTTTATTTTAGGATAATCACTTGGGCTCACAAACATAAATAGGAGGGCCTAGCTGGGCAATAGCAGTGGTATACAACTGTAATCTCAGCACTCAGGATGAAGGCAGAATGAGTTCAAGGTCAGGCTGGATTACATAGCAAGACCATGTCTGTCTTGCTCAAAAAAAAAAAAAAAAAGAGAGAGCAAGCCTAATAAGCCTCATAGCAAATTAATGCCTACATACTAGGAAAGAGCCTCCAGCAAATCCACAAGACTCACTCTTTTAGCAGAACCTTGAGCAATAAGCACCAGGTATTTTGAATGTCACACTCCTGTCAGAGGGACCTTTCTGGGAAACATTCCCATTTTGTCCTATTTGTTCAGGATCCTAAACACCAAAGGAGCAGTTAGGGTAGAATTCTGAGATTATGTTTGCTGGCTATGCTTTCATTGTCATGGGGCAAAGCACTCCACTCAAAAATGCCAACCCACCAGTGTTCTACTTTCACTCCTAGAAACACAACTGGCTCCTCTCAGAGCCCTGTTCATTAGCATGGTGGTCCCACCCAAAAAAAAAAAAAAAAGTGCCATGTCTCCTTGAATGAAAGGAAAATAAATAACACGAAATTCTTCCATGCAGATCAAAAAAGAGCACGTTATTTTCTTGATCAGATGACAAGATGGTAGTCTTCAAGCAACTTCACTTGCACAAAGCACAAACTCGATTCTATCCGTTAGCTGCCCTCCTTTTAAAACTAGAGGGAAACACTTCCAAAAGAGTTATACGTGGCAAGAAAAAAAAAAAAAAAAAACCAGCTTTAGGAAACCATTGGGTAAATTCTACCAAAAAGCCAACAAAGTGGGCAATTCCATCAGTATGGGCACAGACAGGCGGGATTTGAGAGATAGGGATAAAGAATACAGAATTTTAAGCACTGGGCTCAAAAATGAAAGACTCCTAAAGGAGGTTCTTATGTGTACCCTTGCTCCCTAGGAAATTTGAGAGCCAGAAGTCTTGGCCAATGAAATCATGAATGGATTGAGATCATAATACCTAAGTATAATTACTAAAAGAGGATTTTATAGGGTTACCAGTTATCTCCACTGGACTACCAACACTGCACCCCTAAACAAAAACAAAAAAAAGGGATAAAAGATAAGGGACCTGGAGTCCCCAAAAGCATACTGGAACTAACACTACAAAATGAAGCCTCAAATTCACTAATAGAACTATCCCCTGCAGCTAGAGTGGAACATATACGCTAAAGGGTAACTGACAGTATATGGACAAAGAATGAACATTATAAACCTATTTCTGTGTACCAAATCTGGGCTAGTGATATTAGCCATGTAACCAATCATCTAGGAATGATCTTAGGATTTCTTTTTCCATACCCCTTAAGAGACCAAATTCTACTAATTCTAGAACCTAATTATCTCTAATATCTCAACCCCTCCTCATTATTTTAGTTCAGGGATTCATCATGTTTTGCCCAGAGTGTTACAATACTCTTAAATGATTTATTTTCCCTTACTTTATGCCTTCTTATTAACAATCAACTTTCTAAAACACCTATCTGGTTCTGTCCCTTCTACCTAGAGCCCTTCAAAAGGTTTCATATTACCGTCAGGATAAAATTCCATCACTTATGAAAGTTGTACACACAGGCCTTTCATAATTGAGTTCCCATATGCCGTTCCCTCTTCATACCTTATATGTAAGTAATACGAAATTGTGTGTTCCTAAATATTCCCCTCATGCTTTGAAAGTTTTTTTCACTGACTGTCCTTCTCTCTGGAAAATGGTCACATTTTCCTACCTGGTTAATTCCTTCAAAGCTCAAGTATTGCCACTTAGAAACCTTTGGTCTTCTTCCTATCAAAGACAAAGGCTGTTAATGACTTCTTGTCTTCTTCACACTTTGTGTTCTATTATTTTACGTAGCTGACTACTGTTTGCATTTTTGTCTTCTCCATTAGCCTGGGCTATATTAGGACAAGGACAAAGTTTCATTCTTTTATGTATCCTAACACGTAGCAAAGTCTGGCACATAGTAGATATTCAAGGTTTTGCTACAGGAGGGAACTGGGAGATAAGCAGGAAGTATAAGTCTGGGTGTGTGGAAGAGATGGAATTGAACAGTGAATAATGGGAAGATCAACCTAGAGTATGCTACAAGTTAACTTCTGACCTTAACTTAGTCTCTGATTTATGAACTGGCCACTTGCAGGTCATCGAGGAGCGCTTTGGGTCCAATGTAGTGGCAGTACCTTTCTTGTCGGATGCAGCCTGCTATGACCTACTGGGCGTACTGGTGAAACAGTCCCGCCCAGCTCATACCCGCCTGGCTTTGCCAGGCCGGCAGGGTCGGAGGGCACTGAAGTCAGTGGGACCGCTACCAAACCTTCTAGAACAGGCAGGGTCTGATGGTGCCTTTGCCCACTGCACTCGGGAATACTCACCAAATGGCCGAGCTGAGATAGCCTATGAAGAGATGAGACTGTTAGATGGGCAGCCCTGCTGGATCCGCCTACATATGGGTGGCCTGCGCAAGAAGGTTGCCTTCCTGTTGCTGCCACCAGGGCAGGTAAGCCTACAGCAGACTCTTCCCTGGCTCCGAAGCACCCACAGCATCTATGTCATCTACCAGGTCTTCTCCTGCTCCTGGCTGCAGCTGGGGTTGTTGCCTACAGCCCGTGAGCCCCAGTTGCTCCGGTTACAGCGGTCATTGCCTGTTGCCTTCTCTTGCCTCAAGTTTTCACTGCAGCCCAAGGGTGTGTTGGGACCACAGAAGCCTCTCACCAAAGACCCACTGCCCCATGGGGCCAACTGGGTCAGACCCAACCTTAGCATCATGCCAGCTCTGGCCCCCACATCAGCACCTGCTGATACCCCTGAAGTTGCTGATGTGCCCCTACCTGTCCCAGCCGCACCTACACCACCTCCCCAGGAAGGGCCAGAAGGCAGACCAACAAGATTCTCCTACAAGGGCCGAAACCCCTTCCGGAGGGGTCCCCAAATGCTGTCAGGTACTTCTAGGGGAAATGAAGATAGGAGGGATGGGAGGGACAAAGTGGAGAAGGAGGGATATGGTATGGGGACCATAGCCCAGGAACGTGTGGGGTATCCAAGACTATGCAAGGACCCTAAAGGGGACGGAATGGGGGAACCAAGGGAAGGTGGGATGGAAATATGGCCCTGGTAAAGGGGTGGGGATAGCACAGAAGACCAGAGGGAGGGACTAAGGAGGAAGACCAGGGCATGAGTCAACTGTGACTATCCCCAACCCTGGCAGAAAACTGGCTCTTCATCCCCCGCGGCACCCCACCAGGAGCCCAGGGTGGGGGCCCCGGGGACCCCGACCGGCACTCCATGTCCCTGCCCCTGCTGCAGGGTCTGTCCTCGGAGTTCGACAGCGACGACTGAAGCTGAGGCAAGAGATGCAGGGGGCAAGGCCCCCAAGATCTGACATAGGGATATTGATCCCCAATAAACATCAGCTGCTGCTCCCCCAAACCATCCTGGGCCCATGGTGCTTCTTCCTTCTAAGGTCCAGGAAAGGGAGGGAATCCCCACTTTTTTCCCTAGGCATCAAGTTCTCTCACCTAAGGTCAAAAGGAGTATCTTAAAACCCTGTAAAATACTAAATGATCTCCCCATCTAAGTACAATCTTTTTGGGGACCCCATAGATAAAGGGTGGGAAATAAGAATGAGCACAGAATAGAGATTTCCCTTTTATACATATTGCAACAAATTCTTCATAAAACATTCATCTGAAATAAATTAAAAAGTCCATTTGCCACTGCCTCCAAACATAAAAAGGAGCCTGTGCCCTGGCCTTAGCCCAGGTTGCCTCTGGCCCTGATTGTCCATGGAAGAAAATTAAGGGTTGAGGGGCCCAAAGCCTGAGATAGAAGGGCCAGATCCCTCTTCTGAAGTATCCAACAAAAAAGGCGAGGTGACGGCATGGGCCTGGGAAATGGCAGCCAACTCCTTGAGAAACTCAGGGAAAATGACTGCACAGTAGACAGCGTTCTTGACTCGCAGAGCCTCACCTTGGCGCTCAGGGGCCCCACCCCGAGGAAGTAGAACTGGAGTTGAAGCCCCAGGGGAGCCCCCACCTAGGCCAAGTCCTGCTCCGTCTCGCCCAGGCTGAAGGACCTGTGCCGCTTGCCGGGCCCTGGTTGGACTGTGTGCATGCCGCAGGAGTAACTCCCCCAAGGACGGCCTCCGGCTCTTCACTGGGAATAAACAGGGGTATCAAGAAAGTGCTGGAATCAGGGAACCTGTCTTAAGTTCGGGTGAACAGATTCCCCCACCCTACTAGATCCTTGGACTTCTCCACTAAGATTCTAAGAGAATAGAAGGATAAGATAGACCAAAAATGAATCTCAGGTTCCATTTCCTATCTCATCTCTGAAGATGACTGTAAGGACTACAGAGGGAAGGTGTTCCCTCATTCTAATACCAAAATGCTGCCTTCTTGGCTTTCTGCCCTCTACCCACCCTCTCTGCCCAACCATCATCCTGAATCTTAACCAATCAACAACTCAGCCACTTCATTCCCAACTATGACTCCTTCCTTTCTTCTCCATACCCCCTTCACCCTGAGGAATTCTCCTCTTTCCAAACACTACTCTGCCACCACCAAGGTATTTCTCCTCAATCCACAGCCATGTCCTTACTTCATGCTTCCCATCACCCTCCCTACGAGTCAATCAATTCCACCTTTCCCTGCCTATGTATAACACTCTGACACACACATCCTCTGCTCCTTCACTACTCGTGAGAGCTATATGTGCAATCATAACTCAGGGACTATTTCAATCCACTGACCCTCTAAGATATGCTTTCTTGTACCACCATTTCACTGTTTTATCAGTCCCACCAGAACCTCTCCCCAACTAGCTAAGGCCAGAAAACTTCCTATCAACTTAAGACTCAAATGAGCTATTTAAACTACTACCCTCTAATTTTTCTGGCAGATTTCTGGGTCTAGACCCATGACCACTAGAGCTAGCCTAGATTCTAGCCTCTAGATCATACTAAGTTTCTATTTCCTTCCTCTAATAATAGCTGCAGAGATGCTATACAGATCTATTAACTTGGCATTCAGAGACCTTCACATTCAGGCTCACACTTCTCCTCAACCTCTTCTCAAACTCTCCATACCCCACTTTGCTTTTGAATACACACCTACCTTCCTGGAACCTAATAGGTACTTACTGTGCCTGTAGCTCCCTATGCCTACATTTTGCCCTCTCTACCCTTTTTCATCCTTTCTTGTTTAATTTTGCTATCTTCACCTCTCTGGGAAACCCTCTAATTTGTCCTCCACTGACCTCCTATTTTATTGTCCTTATCTCAACATACTTTAACAATTTCTTTCATGTCTTCTATCTCATACACTAACCTGTGAGCTTAAGATCTTAGACTGTGTCTTATTTACCTTTGTATTCCTGGCTCCTCCAGTGACCTCAGTGCTAGAATTGCAGAAGCAAGAAATAGTCAACAGTACTAGCCCATCAGGAAATCATGCTAAGGAACTTCAGCAGAGTCTTTATGGCTAAGCAATAACCCTTACGGTACCTTTTCCCCAATCCATACACTTTTCTCCTTCAGTCTCCATTTCATCACTGCTCTCACCTATATTCTCAGCATATCATTTATCCTCCTACTTCAATTAGTAAAGGATGACATGAAATCCCTATCATCCCCCTCAACACTTCACAACTCACATGTCACTTCCTCCTTGCTCTTTCCTCTTTGCTCGTTCCTCAACTGCCTCAAAAGGAAAAAAAAAAAAAACAAAAAACCTTTTCAAGTCCAAAGTTAATCCTTTTGTGGTGCTGTAGATCACATTATTTCTACCACTTTATGGATCTTGCTCCCCATAACTCTCCAGATCATATGGTCTTTGAACAAAACAGAGATCACATCTTGTACCACCCTGACACCTCTGTACCAAAGATAGTAACTAGCACCTATAGCAAGTGCTCAGATACTTGGCAAATGAAAAATGAAGACATAAAACTTCAGAGTCATATTAATTCTTCCTCCTTACCCTCACAAATTTCCTTCCCATATCCATCTTATCAAATGCTTCCTTTCTTTCCACTTCTCTAATTCAAACCTCCCTAGTTACATTTGCATTATGAAAGAAGCTTCCTGACTGTTCTTCCTGACTCCCCTTCTCCTAGCTCCAATTCACCTGTGCTTAGGCATCTTGCCACTTCCAAATTTAATAAATCCCAATGGTTTATTCACTACCTAAAAAAGCTCAATTTCTACCCAGCTCAACATCCACTCCAAGAACCTATCTCTCTGCCAAACCTTTCCAAATCTCAACCTACTTGAAATCCTTGGAGGCTTTTAAATCCCCTGCTTCAACTAAACAGTCCAGGATGTCTTCTGAGCAAAAGAATAAAGACCTTCCATTCCTTTGTCTACCTAAGTCCTACTCATCTCTCAAGGGCCATGCCAAATGTCACATCCTTTATTAAGCTCTCACAGTATCTCAACCTAGGGACTATTGTGTCCCCTTGCCTATCTCTTAAATCCTGAAGCAATTTTTGCTGATACTGCTGATTGGGATCTTAACTGATAGAACTATGTTCTACCCTCTATCCCAAAGCCTAAGGACAAACATGAAGGCTCGATTTTCTACAACTCTACAGTTCCTGGCATAAGGTTTCATCTTTACTAAGAACTCAATTACCCTGGACTAATGGGGTATCTAGTGAGGGTAGGAAGGGAGTGGTGGGGCAGGCCTCACCTAGGGGATCAGAGCGGCGGGGGGCAGGTCCTGATGTAGGACCCTCAGCCCAATCCAACTTGCCACGGGCAATGAGGTACTTCTTGGCTTTGGATAGCAGTGCTGGGAAGTCTTCCTGTGAGGCCGCAAAGCTCTCAATCTTATTCTTCACAGAGCCCAGCACCTATGAAGCACAACTTTATGACATTTCTGGTGGCTCTAAACTGACAGCCCTTTCTAGTCCCATTGGGCCTGTTCCCAGCCCACCCAGGGTCTCTCCAGCTGCGGGCCTGGCCCACCATGGAGCCTGGACGCACCCATGCATGCATGCATCGCACACCTGCAGCAGGGACTTGACACTGGGCTGGAAGACCATGTTGGTGTTGAGCAGGAAAGAGCGGAGCAGGGGCTGGGGGTGACAGGCCAGCTGGGCCACCAGCCCCGTCAGCAGGAAGTTGACATAGACGGAGTTCTGCAGCATGTTCTCGAGTTTGGCAAAGAGCACAGCCATGAAGGGGCCTGGGGAGGGGTGGGCACAAGGATACAAAGCCTGAACACAATGCACATCGCACGCATTCTTCCCCAAAACAGAGACCCCCCACAAGATGAAAATCAGGTGTCAGTGTCTGAATATGTTTAAATATCCTGTGACCATCTATTCTGGAACAAATTAGGTGTCAGATACCATATGGACCCTAAGAATCCAGATGCTAGCCTTACACATTTGAGCTGAAGAGTCAGATCTTAGGCTTTAGAGTCACAGAGATCTTCCTGATTTCAGCTTTACCCCTTAGTAGTTATGTTACTGGATAAGTAAAAATTCTCTAATCTTTAGTTTCCGCCTTAGTAAAATAAGAAAATATACCTACCTCATAAGAGGATTAAGAAGACCAAAGAGCTATCAATATAATGCATTAAGTCTAAGATCTGGCAAATTTTGTTTTCAATTATAACAATAAGCTACGTAATATTTCTCAGTTTTTAAAGTTTTACCCACAAGGCACAAAAGAAGAAAGATTAGGCAGAGAAAGAGACTAGGACCAAAATGCAGAATTAGGTTCCACATAAGACAAAATAACACTAAATCTTGTCAGAAAGAAAGAAAAAACTGTAGCAAAGAAAGAGAACATACAGTTTATATTTAAAGTTAGAGAATAAGTCTTCAAGGGACCAGAGAAAACATGAGCTGTGCCTTTCAGAAACTGGAAATCAAGAAGGTAGAATAAAATTTATAGTAAAAGGACAGTTTACTTCAGGCACACAGTAACCTGATTCATGAGATTCTCTGGAGGGAAAAGATAACAGAAGGGAATCAATCTTATCTACTGGGAGAAATGGCTTCAACAAAGACATATCACCAGCTCTGATACTCTACAACCATCACAGTCTTTTTTATCAGAGATTTTGAGAGGAAGAGAATATATCCAAGAGCTGTATCATGAATAAAGACAGGAGAATGAGATGGGAAAGAGGTAGTAAATCCTGAAAAAGACCTTAGAACATCTGCTGTAGGTGCTCATAACTGGTCTCAGTTCAAAAACAATTCTAGCTTAACATGGTCATAAGATAACCCAGAACTTTGTCCTCTGTCCCTCTCATTTCCTGGGTATATTTTATAAGAGATAATTCAAAAAGCTCAGATGAGTTTACAAAACAAAAAGGACAGAAGCTTCAATTAATACTTCAAGACTGTGGTAAAATTTGTACTTCATCTCACAGAACTGAGCAGGAAGCAGAGTGATCACTAAATAAATTAAAAAATATTTTTTGTAAAGTCTATAAGAAAAGGAAGTTGAGTCCAGAACTGTAGTCCCAATGCTATACAAGCAGGATAGTCAGCACTTCCCAGGCCCTATCAGAAGAAACTGATCACGCATAAAAACTTGACTACAAACAACTAGCAGATAAGTGGCTGCCTTGGTCAACTTAAATATGCCATGAGCCAGAGAGGATAATACTAGCGAAAAGAGGCCATTTGTTGACTTCTCACAATGTGCCAACATTGTGATTTACATACATCAATGGCAGAGATAATATACTAACTTAAGATATGCCTAATCCAAAGTCTGTGGTGTTGGCTTTAGCCACTACAGTTCATCCTGGAGATTATTTTTTTTATTTTTGTTTTTCCATGCACATGGCATGGATTAGAGCCAGAGGAAGGCTTATCTGGGTCTTAAACAAAAAAAAAGAAGAGCTAGCCCAATAACTCAAGTCACGACTAGCTACAGGGGCATCCTGGAGAACCCTAAAGGGCTTATCTGGTGATCACAGGCCCATACTTCATCACTTGACCTCAAAGAGATATCTCAACTTCTTTGCTTCTATCCTTACTACTATTATCATAAATCCCTAAAACATTTTTATTGAATAAGAAGGTACTAGGACAGTGGACAGAAATTTGAAATTGGGCCTTTCTTTGAGGAGGCAGAGAAGGAGCTGAGCAGGAGAGAAAAGACCAGAAGAGCTGACCCTGGACCACAGGAAAACTGACAGCAGACATAACACCCAGACATATATACTGGTGGGAATAACAAAGAATAGAGGTTTACAGGTGCCTGTCATACAAGATAACACATGTCTTCCATATGGTGCAGATATATTGTAATTTATCAGAAAACACCAAATAGAGAATATCCTAATCACAAACCCCAGGAAATGGCTAAGCTAGGGGTAAAGGAGGAACATGCATATAGGACATACATACAAAGCTCAGACATAAGTTAATACTCAAACCAGCAAAAGCATGAAAGACATACAGACAAATGAGGTCACAAGTACAACATGATATGTATGTGGAAAAGTACCCAAGCAAAATGGATGAGGACTAGGCAAGTACACAGAAAATAATATAGCCAAGAAGTCTCAGAAATCAGCACAAACAAGTCAGGAACATGCAAAGTACACAAAGGAGAAAGACTGGGCTAAGAAGCTTACCGGTGAAAGGCTGGCTTGGCAGCTGGTTGACAGTCCGCAATGGGCTGCTGAGGAAGGGGCCAGGAGGCTCAGGGGGACAGGTGAAGCTCTCGTAGGCCTCCTCCTCCTCAAGAGGTAGTGGAGGCTCTAAGGGGGCTTCTGAGCCAGCTCCACCATTGCTCAATGCCACCTCCAGCTCCCGGAGCTCTTGCCCAAAGCTCTCTAGTCCTGTCATGCCCTGGGAGAAGCCCTCCAGCAGTTCCCCAGCTCCCTCCTGTGCCACCAGACGTGGTACCAGACGAACCTTCTTGGCTCCCTCAGGCCATGGTCCTGGCACCCCATTAAGCTGGGGCAGGGGCAGGTGGCCAGGACCCTCACCTATACCCCCAGTCAGCCCTCTACTCCCTAACTCTTCCTCCTCCCCTTCCCCCACATTGTCCCTGTCCTCCTCAGGCAGGAGGCTGCGTTTCTTAGTCCGGGAACCAAGAGCATTAGGCTCAGGAGGGGGCCGCTCGCCATCATAGGGGGCAGACCAGGTACGGCAGGCTCGGACACAGCGGTCTACACCACGGCGCGCCTCACGCAGATAATCCAGGTAATTGTCTTCCAGCTCACCAGGCTCCTCTGCAGGGCAGGGCCGTCGGCCAGGGCTGGAGGCTGGGGATGCAGCAAGCCCTGGTGAGCGAGGGGCTGGACCTGGGGACTCAGAGCCAGCCAGACTCTGCTGCCGAAGGAAGAGAGCCAGCCGGGATGGTGTGGAAGGCCGAGGCACTGTCACCACAGAAGAGGAATCAACACTTGGACTTCCAGGGCCTTTATGGGGGGAAAAACATAAAAGAAATCAAGAAGACAGAGGCCCAAGAGAAGAGATAAGATACCTAGGGAGACAAGAGAGAAGGCAATGAGGAAGCAGAAACTTGGAACCTATTTAGATGACTCTCCAACCTTCAGATTAACTTTTTCCTAATCCATTAACCCTTCTCTCCATAACCACCATCCAAGAAACAGGAAGAGTATAGGACTGAAATGAAGAAGAGGAACAGCTTTGCCCAGCTCACCTAAACTTCCTTGGGGAGGTTAAGGATCCTGTCTCTTAAGACCCCTCATCAACCTCCCCAAAGAAGTAATGCCAGTCATGATCATCTTCCTCCCCTCACCCTAACCCCACCTTTTTGCTAGTCTCCCCCAGAACCTAGGCCATACCCATGAGGTCCTCCCTTCTCCCTGCCTCTCTGCTAGTCCCACCTCGTGCCCACGAGGCATGCTCTGGGCGAGGTGGGCTGGGGGCACGGTGCCGACAACAACGTGGGATTAGGGAGAGAAACTTGTCAGCTGCTCGTCCATAAAGATCCACATCACGTACAGCTGGCTTCTGGCTCAGCATCACGTGGTTACATGGGACAAGATACCTGGGAAACAGCAGGAAAAGGGCATGGGATGGATCAGGAAGGAAAGATAGCACTTGGAAGAACAACCATCCAGTTAAACTAGGCTGGCTACTCATGAGCAATCCTAATCCAGCCCATCACCCCAGCAAAGCACAAGGCCCTGAGAGTCAGCCATCCCTCAGCCCTGCCCCCACAGGTACCTGAGAACGAGCTGCAGTAGAACATCCTCACAGCTGAGGTTCAGGAGGGTCCTGAAGAGACTCAGAGAGACCATGCAGAGCTGGGATGGAAGAGGGAGTCACAAAAAGAACTCTTTTCTCTCTAAACTTCACCAAATGGGAACCCCCTCTCCCCTGGCCCTAAGTCCAACCAATTACTACCAAAACAACATGTGCACATGACCTGGCACATAATAGTCATTGAGATTATTAACTAGTTGATCACATGATCTTTGTGGGCAAGAAGTCACCATTAACAGATAAAAATGAACCATGTGTCAGAGCCAATGGACTTCCACAGACCATAGTCATTATCAGCAGACTCTCTGGCTATATTTACCTGTCTACTGAGAAGGGACTCCAGCAATGCTCCAATGAGACCCAAAAAAGAGACACTATTACTAAGTGAATGACTTAACAACAACAGCAACATGATAACCAAGAAAATGCCATTAGCAGGGAATCCCTATCAATAAGGAATCAGAGGGAACCTGGAAGAATTCCAACTGGCAAGTGGGTGGAGCTATGAATATGGAGTCCAAGTCACCTCTCCAACCCCAGTAAATCTCAGAAGGTAGGATAAAGAAAAGCTCAAGGGCAGCTGACAGGAAAAGGAAAAAGTAAGTGGGGCCAGAGCAGGACTTTTGTTTTAGAAAAGAAAGAGGACTTATTCATCTCTGGCTAGGCAAAAAAAGGACACATATAAGCTATCCTTCACTCCTCTGAATCCTCACAGCACTTTCTCTCTACTCCCCTTATGGTAAGTATGTCAGACATCTTGAGCTCCCTCAAGACAACAATGAGCCTTAGTCTAGGGCCCTACCTGTACAGAGAAGGTGTAATTATTTGGTAAATGATGGTAAGAGAATTAAATCAGTCACATAGTAGGAAAAAAGATGAATGCAGATCACACTTTGGACAGAACAGATGTTCAGGAGGCATATCCTAAATGATCACTTTAACTATCGATGAAAAATTCACTCCATGAAAAGCAGAATAGTGGGTAGAAAACTAGTTCTTCAAAGATGTACACATCCTAATCTACAGAACCTGTAAACATTTTATCTTATACAGCAGAAGGAACTTTATAGATGTGATTAAAATTACAGACTTTGTGGGACTGGGGGTGTAGCTTAGTGGTAGAACACTTGCCTATCATGTACAGGTCGCACCATAATAAATTAAAAAAAAAAAGGAAGAGACATTTGAAACATGTCAGGGACTTGACCCTTCATTGCTGGCTTTGAAGATGGAAGAAGTGGGCCAAGAGTCAAGGAATTTGGTTGGCTCTGTAAGCTGGGAATGGTAGCAAACAACCAGCAAAAAAAAATAGAGATCTCAGTCTCACAACTACAAGGAAATTAATTCTGCCAACAACCCAAATATGTACTCCAGAACTGTAAGATACTAAACTGGAAACCAAGTGTGGTAGAACATGCCTGTAATCCCAGCTCCTACAGAACCACAGATCAGGACAACAGTGGTTCAAAGCCAAATGGGCAAAAAGTTAGCAAGACCTCATTTCAACAAAAAAGACAGGCATAGAACAATGTAATCCCAACTACACAGGAGGCACAGATAGGAGGACTGCAATCCAAAGCCAACCCCAGGCATAAATACAAGAAAAATAACTAAAGTATAAAAGGGCTAAGAGCATGGCTACGGGCCTAGCAAGCATGAGATCCTGAGTTCAAACCCTAGTACGACAAAAATTTGTTTTGTTTTAATCCACTAAATTTGCAGTAACTTGGTATGACAGCAATAGGAAACTAACATAGATAATCAGGCCCATAGACAAGTTAGACAAAATGATTCACTTCAAGGCACAAAAGGCAAGCCATGTAAGTTACAAAGTCAGCCAACAAAATGAAGCTTGAAAGGACCAGACAATGGAAGAAAGCATCTACTAATATGGCGTCCTGTAATCAGAAGAGATCTGGTTCTTCTCAGAACTATGAACCAAGAAGAAAACCCCTAAGAGCAAGAAAGGCTTCTAAAACCAAGGGATCAAATAAGACACTAATAGGAATAAGGATTAAAAACAATGGGATAATCAAAAAAAGTTAGGTTAAGATTTAAGATAAAAGGACAATAGATAAAAGCTCAAGGGCATGGGAGAATCAACCTGAAGAAATTAATCAACTGTTTCTAAACATAAACAGGACATTCCATGATACTGAGAAATAAAACTTTTTTGATATCTTTGTAAAAGTAAACTTTTGACATTTGTCTCTATGGGTTTATATCAATAAATTTTAACCCAAAACACATAACATGAATACTTTTTGGAGCATTTAAAAATATATACATGATCTAGATCCCAAACACTATAGTTCAGAATCTGAAACTGTTATATCCTCAAAGGACGACAGATGATTCTGAAGTGTGTATCTGGTTCAGAAACACAGGTCTAAATCAAAGTCAATTTCAACTATACCTCTACAAAAGTTATCCAGGAATATCACTGACCTGAAACCATACTACTAGGTACCTTAATTCTAGAAAGGTTTTTCCAGACTGTGTTTTGAGTTTGGGGGGAGGTTTCTGTTTGCTTGTTTTTGTTTTTTAAAGAGACAGTATCTCACTATGTAGCCCAGGCTGGCCTCAAACTCTATCCTACCACACCCAGTCTCTCCAGAGCTCTTAATTATCGAAGAACTATTTTAAACACAAGAATCCGGAAACTGCAACAATTTGTACTAAAGGAAGGAAGCAAAAATGTCTCAGAGACAAAATACATGCCAAAAAGTCCACAGCCAAACTTAATACTTTATTCTCCTAGAAAGTCTTTGGGTATTTATTATCTGAAAAACTATTTACTCCCATTTTATATACATTTCCATTGGTAACAATCAACTTCTTACTCTGGTCTTCCAGTCCATGAACGATCTGAACTCTCATCTTATCCCTGTTTCTCCCTTGCTCACTACACCTCTAGTCTCACTCTTCTTTCATTTCCTAAAATACATTAAACTCTTACCCTATCTGATGTCCTTTGCATGCTGCTCCTTCAGATTGTTCTTCTACTTGACATTCATTAGGCTAACTTCTTTATAAACTTTATGTCTAAGCTCAATGTCACCTCCTCAGGGAGGTCTTCCTTGACCACCCTAGTATTTTCTAAGCCTAATGTTTGTTTGTTTTTTACAACAGGAACCACAATTTTCAATTATTTTATTAATATGTTTGTTTGTCTATCTTCCCCATAAGGTAAGCTCCAGAAAGTTGGCAATAATGCCCAGCACCAGCAAACAGTATATGGCACATAGTGAACATTTGATACAAATGTATAGGAAGGAATGTAAGTTAGGCAGGTAAGTGAATGTGTATCCTCAGTTACAGTTTGAATGCAGCAAATCCAAAGGAGAGAGAGTGAGAATAGTAAGAACAGGTGGATCATCTAGGAATAAACACATAAAACCCAAATGTCAAGTAACTCACAGCAGGTCACTGATTGATAAACAGCTGCAGAGATTTTTCAGGGCAATGCTATATTAACAATGACTTCACAATGGCAAAACCTACAGCCATGACAAGCAGCCAAAGCCACTTTCGGTCAGAAAGGGCAACTGTATCCCAGATTTATACATTACAAAAATAGGGAAGTAGATTAAATTTTGTAGCCAAAATCGTTAAAAAAGTTTAATGCTAGAAAGTGCCACCTACTAATTTTGAAGTGACTGCTAGAAACATAATCCAAAGAAGAGCAAGAACACTCTCTAAGAACAAAGGTCAAAGAGAGAGGGTTCACCCAGATAAGCCAGGACAAAGGTGAGGATCATACCCGGGAGTTGCTGCCAATACGGGCAACGAGAGTGTCAAGGATGGTGTGGGTATCATGCCGGTGTAATAACAGGAATCTCAGGAAGGTACGGAGCAAGGCAGGCTCTGAGATACTCCGTAGGAAAAGTTCCAGATAGGCGGTACTGGCGATCATCTCCTCCACAGAGGTCTGGACGAAGGGAAGGGAAAGTTTGGAAACTTAGGGCCTCCCTGCACATCCACTGAGTCATTTTCCCTGGGTTCTAAGAAAGAACAAGGAGCAGACAAGGAAATGGAAGGAGTACCCCACCCTCCACCTCCCACATTAGTCCTTTCACTGAAGTAATCACCCTGCAGTCTAGCCCCTAATAGGCTGTGACCCTCACCTTGTGCAGGGCAGGGCCCATGACAGGCACGAGGAACCCATTGTGGATATAATCCACCAGCTGCTTCTGCACCAGGGGATGAGCAACCTATACCAGTGCAAGAGAGAAGAAAAGGGGTCATAAGACTACTGTCCAAAGGGAGAATGATATAACACAGAAAGGCATCCTACTCCAAGATGCCAAAATAGCAGAACTCCAGGGAATGTATGTTTTCACCCCATCTTCCCAGAATGACCAAGGGTCACAGCTCTTAGGCACCCCAATCCTACCTGAATCACGGCATTGCAGAACTCTAGGGAACTCATGAAGAGTGCAAGGGCTGGCACTCCTAGCCAGTCTTCCCGTCGGAGACAGTGCCAGTCATCCCCTGGAACCTCAATCTTTCGGGGCAGTGAAGAGTACAGGGCACTCAGCCCTGTGGCCAGCACCTAGGGGAGGTTACCAAAGGCTCAGACAATATAAAGAGTGTGAGCAGAGGTAAGAGCTACTAGCAAAGCAGGTATTAAGCTACCCAACGTGACAGTGCCTCACCTGGAACGATAGGCTCACAAAGAACCTTAGTACCTGCCCTATCCATCTAGGCCTATATTTCATCCCCATTCCAACTCCAGGAAGCTGCTTTCAAATCCAGGGGGCTAATCCCTGGAGGAAAGGACTTTCGTGCCTAGTCTTTCTATATCTCCTGGATCCAATATCCATATGCTATACCCTTATCCCCCCACCACCAATCCTCAGGGGTGCTAACCGGGCAGAAGTAAGAGTGATCTGCGATGTAGCGGCCCACAGTGGGGCTTCCAGCTGACAGAGCCATGAGCAGAAGTAGAGCATCACGAGCCTGTTGGCCCAGAGTGCCCTCTCGATGGACAAAAGGAACAAGGCGAGAAAAGAGGAGAAGACGTGGGGCAGCTCCAGGCTCTGGAGGTGGCTGCAGGAAGAACTCGAGCAAAGAAGGCTCCCGGGCCACACATACACACAATTGGCTGAGAAGTAGCACCAGGCCTTCATCCAGTGCTGGGCTACTAGGCACAGGGCAGGCATCCAGTAGGGTGAGCAGAGCCTCACGGACTGGACCATGCCGCAACAGGGGCTGGCGAGCTTCACTCACTAGCATCTCAAATAGTTTCAACTGCTCAGCCCGCCGTTCCTCAACCCCATCCCCAAGTTCATCCCATTGCAGCTGCCATGTCAACACACGGGTCAGAAGATCCTCACGAAGAGCAAACTCCAGCAGGGGCCCAGGGCCTGTAGGAGATGAAGGGACTGCACGATCCTCTACCAGCAGTGTTAACATTTGGTAAGCATGGTTGCACACAGCACTGAGATCATCTGCACCTCCAGGAGCTGCCCGAGGGCCTTGTCGCTCCAGGATGCGCACCACCTGGAGAAAAAGAACAGAAGACAGAAGTAATTTAAGATGATAAGATGACTAAATGGGAAGATTAAGACACAGAAGGTTAAGACTACTCAGGTGGCTAGTGGCACAGACACTTCAACCTACCTGGGACCAGTGATTCTTGAAGACCATGAGGCAGGTCTCAGGGTCAGCCATGACAGGGGTCTGCAGACTGGCCCCTTGAGTTACACGGTTCCCAGGGCCCCGGGAAGCCAGTCTGCTCAGCCAGTTCATCTTCTCCATGAGGCAGGCTGGGCAGGGCCAGCAGCCAGAGGGCTACAGTATGAAGATATGCCAGTTGGAGGCTTTCTCCACTTCTGTCTCCAGTCTGCTTCATCCGGTCTGTAAGAGCCAATAGCTGGCCATGGAGCCAGAGATTACACCAGACTGATGAGGCAAATCCAGAAGTCACTGCCCAGTCCAGAATTGCAAATCTATTTCAAAAAGAGAGAATGGAGAGGATAAACAGAAGCACTTACCTCTCTCAACTCCCTTGCAGGAAAAACTCAGAACCACAACTCCACTGAAAACTCCACACACATACCTACACAGATGCATAGAAATGCCAGCACCTGGAACTTACATGTCTAAAACAGAACTCATGATTTCTACTACCAAACCTGTCACACCCTCACAGAACTCATGACTTCTACTAACAACCTGTCACACCCTGTGATACTGAATGTTGATACCAACATTCACCTATATGCATAGCCCAAAAGCCTGAGCACCATCCTTGTTTCTCCTTTCCTTACACTATCCAGTTCATTGGCAAATTTTGTCATCTCAACCCTTAAAACATGTACCACCACTCAGGAGGCAAAACCAGAATTGTGAGTTCAAAGACAGCCTGGGCTACACAGTGGCAAATAAACAAACAAATAACTTAAAAAAACAGACAAGAACAATAAAAAAAAAACCATGTCTCATTACTGCAACAGCTTCCTTCCTGGTCTCCACACTTCCATTTTTGGTTCTGTTTTTTTATTTTGTTTTGTTTTGTTTTGCTGTCTTGTAACAGGATCTCACTATGTAGCCCAAACTGGCCTCAAACTTGTGATCCTCCTGCCTCAGCCTCCCAAGTGATGAGATTACAGGTGCTTGCCACCTCGACTGGCAGATGCTTCCACTCTTGCCCTCCTGACAATTTGCTCTCCACAAAGCAACCAGTGATATTTTTAAAAACCTAAATTATATTTCATCTCTCCTCTGTTGAACACCCCCCAATGATTGCCTATTACAGTAGTAATAATCCAAATTTCTTACCTTGGCCTATAGAGACCTGCATAATCTAACCTATACACTCCTATCATTCTCCTCCTCATTCATACTTTAGTCACACAGTCTTTCTTGTGTACTTTGTTACCTCAGCCTGAAATATTCTCCTGCTCTTTTCATTGCTCTGTTTATTGTTTTGTTTTTAATGCCATGTTCTCAGACCCTGCTTAATAATTTTATCTAAATAGCCCAACTTTCTACCATCATGCACTGGCTTCCTAATACCACTTTCTTCTTAACAATTTTCACTATATGAAATTATTTATTTACTTGTCTATAAACATGCATGAAGGCTTAAGTTAATGAATGAACAAATAAACAAATAAAAAGTACCAAATTACCTGCTGCCCAGGCCATGGACCATAGTCCCTTCTCTATCACACCTACCACCTCCTCAACAGTACTTGAGAGAGTATAAAACCTTCATTAGAATGATGTGGTTCCACTGTCCTTCCTCTTTGTACTCAAAAACAGTTGAAGAAACTCAGAAACTTGACACCTGTCCCACATTTTGTCTAAAGGTTACATTAACCAACATCTCCTTTCATCCAGATACTTTCTCATAAATTACCAAATCACAACCAAAGGAAGGTAGCAACCCTGCTGAAAGGAAAACTACCTGTAGGACTGGTTGCAGTCTTATAAAGGAAAGGGCCAGTCCTATAGACCAGAAAGGACTTACTATCAACTGAAAGTATATCCATGTTGATGAAAGTACAAAGGCAGATAAAAAATAGTTGGGATCAGGGGGCATAAACATAAAACTCTAATGCTATAAACAGAAATATTTATAAAAAGTGTAATAGGACACCAAGGAAAGCAACTAACTCTGCCTAAGCTGCTGTAAGAGAGCTGTACAAGCCGGCTTAGATCTTTAATAATGAAATACTGGCTACATAGAGAGCAGAGGGAAAGGTTTTCTTCATATTAAAAACAGTATAAACAAAAATATGGCACTGGCCAGGCACTGTTGGCTCATCTCTGTAATCCTAGCTACTTGATAGACTGAGATTGGGAGGATCTAGGTTCAAAGCCAGCCTGGGCAAGTACTTCACAAGACCCATCTCCAAAATAACCAAAGCAAAATGAATGGGAGGTATGAGTCACATGGTAGAGCACCTGCTTTGTAAGTGTGAAGACTTGAGTTCAAGCCACTGAGAAAGAGCATGACAAATTTGAAGAACAGTAGTTGCAAATTCAGTGTGACTTGATCACTATTTAGAGAAGAGGCACAATATTAGGTTGAAGGGTAAATATAGGTGAAAGTTATTCAACATCACTGCATTATCATGCTAAGGAATTTGAATTTTATCTATTCACATCCTGGAGACAAAGGAGGTTTTTAAACAAGGAAATGACAAGAACTAACTGACTTGTCTTTAAAAATATGTCAGATGTTGGTACTGGAGGCATGGATCAAGCAGTAGAGTGCCTGCATAGCAAGTGCAAAGCCCTGAGTTTAAACTCCAGTAGCACCAAAAAAAACCACAAAAATATAACATAGCAGTATAATATGAGCAGAGAGAGACAGATGGTAGTGGACAAGTTATAATAGTAACTTTTAAAAAACTAATGGCATAAACTAAGGTGGTAAAAATAACAAAAAAGCTAAATCTGAGATTAACCTCTATCTTAGCGTGTTCCATACAATAATAAAATGATTCATACATATTTCTCTGACAACTTGTTTATGTGAAAGTCTCTACTCTTTTGATAAGGAGCCATATTATTCATTCTTCTTTGAAATCCCAGTGCCAACATAGTTCCTGGCATTCAACATTACTAAATGTCAACTTAGTAATAATTATAATAGCTAACATAAATTGAGCACTTACTATGTGTCAGGCTCTGTTCTAAGAACATTTACTACTATCCCCATTTTACAAATGAGGAAATCAAGCACAAAGAGTTTAAACAAGTTGTCCAAGTTAGCCACCCAGCAGCAACTGGCAGGGATTGAATGTGAATGAAGATATTCTACCTCCAGATTTAAATTAATCACAAAGTAAAAGCAACCAAACCTGGCAAATGAATGGAGGATGAGAGATAACCTTAATGCGAAATAAAAGAGACAAAGATAATGCCATTAGCCTAGTATATGCAATCCCAGCACCAGGAAAAAAAAAAAAAGATAATGCTTATTAGATCAAGAACACATATCAAGAGAAATTGTGTTTTAGAAAAGATGAGTACAGTTTTAGACATGCTAAGTTTTGAGACACCTATAGGATATTCATTCATATTCATGTTATCCAAAAAGAAAAGAGAAATATCATACTTAAGCTTCAGTTAAATCAAAATTAGAGGTACCAATTCAAGAGTTAACAGCATAGGGCTGGAGATGTGGTTCAAGAGGGAAAGCAATGGTCTAACAACCATGAGGCCCTGAGTTCAAACTCTAGTACTACTCCCCCCCAAAAAACAAGGCTATCAGCAAGCAAATAAGTAACAGATGAAACTATGAAAGGAGATGGAATTATCTGAGATCAGGACATAAAGGACCTCGAGATGAAATTCTAAAGGACAACAGAATATAGGAATGCAAAGAGGAGTCTTTAAAGAAGAGTACAGCGAGACGTGGTTATACATACTTATAATCCCTGCACTCGAGAGACTAAGGCAGAAAGATCAAGAGTTTGAGGCCAGCCTGGGGGTACATAACAAAAACCCTGTATCAAAACAAGCAAACAAACAAAAAGCCTATGGAGGTAGTTGGAAATGCAAGGAGAAATCTAAGAAATAGTGATCTAGAAATCAAGAAATGAATGTTTCAGAAACTGGAGATTGCCAATAGTGTGCAGTTCCATGGAAAGAACAGGTAGAATGAAGACTGAAAATGGTCCACTGATTTTTAATTAATCAAGTTTCTGATAGAATAGAGCATGATGGCTCACACCTATAATCCCAATTACTCAGGAAGCATAGGTAGGACGATCATGGTCTGAGGTTGGCCCACACAAACAGAGCAAGACCGTATGTGAAAAATAAATTTTAAAAAGGTTAGTGGGGGGGAGTGGGAGTGTGGCTGAAGTGGTAGAGCACTTATTTGCCTAGCAAATGCAAGGCCCTGAGTTTAAACCTCAGTATCACTAAAAAAAATTTTTTTTGATAAACTTAGAAAAGTAGTTGGTTAAAGAATGAACAGGAAAGGGCTGGCAGAGTAGAAGTGGTAAGAGCACCTGCCTAGCAAGCACAAAGCCCTAAGTTCAAACCCAAGTGCCGCCAAAAAAAAAAAAAAAAATTAAAAAAAACAATGAACAGAAAAAAAATAAATAAAAGAATGAACAAAGGTCAAAGAAGTATAAAATGCACTTTCAGGAATATGGAAAAGGATTAAAATATGGCATCAGGAGGATCACAGTTTCAAGGCCAGCCAGGGCAAATAGTTCATGATACCCCCATCTCCAAAGTAACCACAGCAAAATGGACGTAAGGTATGGCTCAAGTGGTAGAGTGTCTGCTTTACGAGCACAAAGACCTGAGTTCAATCCCAGCAAATAGCTTAAAGAAACAGAGTGGAGGGTCAAGATTTTTATGTTTTTGTTTTGTTTTTGGATGGGGAGCTTCAAAGGTACTTGTCAAGTGATAATAGTCTGAAGAGCTAGCCACCAGTGGCTCATTCCTATAATCTTAGCTACTCAGGAAGAAGAGGTCATGAGGACTGCAGTTCAAAGCCAGCCCCAGGCAAATAATTTGAGAGATCCTATCTCGTAAATAGCCAACAAAAAAAAGGCTGGCTGAACGGTTCAAGTAGTAGAGTGCCTGCCTAGCAAGTGTGAGGCCCTGAGTTCAAACCCCAGTACCACCAAAAAAAAAAATAAAAATTCTAAAGAAAGTGAGGTTACAGATAAATAAGATAGGGATAACTGACAGAAAAATAAGGAATAGAATTAGTCTGAGAAAAGAAATAATTCCACCTTCTGAGAAAGGAGGAAAACAGTAATAAAGAATGGGAGCCAAGGGTAATCTACTAAATGCAAACTCCTGCCTTCCTTCTCTCAGACAGGAGAGTGACAGTGGGGGAGAAGGAAAGAATGGAGAAAGTAGAAAAGTCACAGAATGGATGCTCAGTCTTTCAAGCATGCTTTCCTAAAAGCCATCAAACACAAGTTTCTACGAACAGCAAAGGATGCACTGGAAAAAGCACTTACCCATATTCCCAAGTACTTAAAATCCCAAGCAGGCTTGGACTGAGCAAGGCAAAGTCAACAGTTAAGCAGTAAGAACTTTCCCTGTTACCAGACCCTCTTACTGTTATTTAGCCCTAGGATATTTTATACCATCCCATGTTGGTTTCTTTAAACGCTGCCCACATTTTTGTAAGTATAGTCTCTTTATTAAGCTCTTGTCAAAGCCAGCTTGGGCCATCTGCCACCTGCACAGAGCCTGACGGATAGAAGAATATTACTATTTACAAAATACTTTCTCCATCATATCTCATTTGAGTATAGAACACAAACAGAAACCATGTGGTCAAACAAGAATGACACACAACAGTAGGTAAAGCATGAGCTCTGGAATGCCTCAAACAAAGGTTTGAACCTCAGTTCACCATCTTCCAGCTGTGACCTTAAATAAATCACCTCACAAATCTGAGCCTTAGTTTCCTCATTAATAAATTCCTGACAAAATAAGTATTATTACTTTTAAGAATTAAGTAAGATAACCTATGCAGCACTCCAGGCTAAAGTAGATGCTCTGTAAACTATTTTTCTTTCCTCTTTGTCTCTTCTGACCCTGTTTGACTGAGGTGCTTATATCTCTGACTCAGAGGAAAGAGATCTGATGTGTCCACCTTACACAAGTAAATTGAAGAAGGGTCAAGCATTCAATCTCAGCAAAATAAGGCTTTAACATTTCCAAAATTATACTGCCTCCAGCTTCTGGAACCAATTTCAAAGATTAACAAACTGCTCCTACCTTGCAATGTACTTTGGGTGCCCACTACTGTTCCACTGCTTAATCATCAAAGAGCACTGCTTATAGATTCAAGGGAGACTGGCCTCCAGGACCTTTCCTCACCACATCACTCCATCCCTTTTTAGAGACCTCAAAGAGAAGAGCCACAGTGGAATCAGCATCTCAGAATACAAAAGTCAACACATAACCTAGGCCCTATTCACACACTAAAAAAATACAAAAGGTCATAACTTGGTATTTTCTTTTACCTATTTAGATGCTTGGCAAAGTTCAGAACAAGACAAAGAAGAAGGCAGAATCAAGAGCCTCTTGCAATGCCCTTTCCTCCCATAGAAAGTCCAAAAGAAGGACAGACTCCTCTGTCTTCCCACATTTATTTTAAGGCTCAGTCACCAGGTAAAAAGGGGAAGAGGTTGTTGATCTCTCAAATCCACAAATGACCAAGATCAGGTACTCACCTTAGAGGGTCCAAAATATAGGTTTACAGGTACACACAGCAAAGGTGTCAGCCAATGTCAGAACAGCAGACACGAAGGCAGGAAATGGCTCAACCTCACTTACAAACCTTTGCCCTGGGAGGGGCAGGGATATACCTTTATCAGGGAGGGAGAGAACAAAATGATCTTCAAAGAATAGATGTAAAGTCCTGAGGTTTATCTCTCCCTACAATGTTCTAGCTAGGCAAGAAGACTGATTATTGATGTAAGAATGAATGGGGTGTTACTTTAAATACTAAAAATGGAAAGACCTGATTAAACCTCAAAGGAATACAAAAGGAAAAACAGAAAAAAAAAATCTAATAGTTTACCAATCTAGAGCTCAGTTCACAAATATTCCTCCTACTTTCCCAGCCCTCAGAAAATGCAGTATCAAGTTATAGTCACAACTCACTAACTCCCCTCCCCCTCCATGCCACCTCTGCTTCTTATAGGCATTTCCTCATCTGACTCCAGTAGAGTTGCAAAGTGAACCTCTATCACACAGTGACTGCCTTTACAACAGTATCCTCCATGTCACACAAGGTTATCTCTAGCTCTCTGATGTTTGAGGGTGACAAAGAAATGTCAAAGAGGAAATGAAACAGATCCTAAGGGATAAAGGAAAATTCACTGGGCAGAAAAGAAAAGATATTCCTAGTAGAGGAGCAGCTATTGGAAAGATATCAAGGCTCAAAAAAGTAACATGTTTGTTAGAGAACTGTGAACAATTTATTCAAACTAGAACACAGAATAGGGAGTGGTAGATGAGACTGGAGAGGTAAGCTGAGGCCAAATGAGGCCATATTAAAGAATTTGGATGTTGTCCTACAGGATACAAAGAGCCAAAGTTTTTAAGCAAAGGAGTTCTATGATCTGATTTGTATTTTTAGAAAGATCATTCTAGGAATGAATTAGAAGACGAGTTATAAGGAATAATACTGTTTTTTAAATTCAGATGAGAATTGAAGTAGAGCTAAACTAAAGCTTTAATAGTGACCATGTAGAAATGGAGATAAAGAGAAGAAAGATAACAGAGAGGGGAATGTATTAAAATTTTAGTGATTGGTTGAAGTAGCAGAAAGAATGGAAGATGACCCTGAAAGCCTTACCTGGATTAAGACAGAAGTACTTGCTAAATGAATAAATGAATGAATTTGTTCTCCGAGCACTTAGCAGAGTGCCTGGCACATAGCAGATATGGAATAAATAATTATACTCAGCATCCCAAACATTTTTCTATCTCTACATCATCCTCATCCTCATCTATGTTTCATCCTCTCAGACCCACCACTAAGATATATGCCACAAGTCAAAATCCATTTTAATGAATGTACAATTATTTCAATGAAAAGTTTGGTACAGAAACATAAGCTTACAAAATCCAGTTCCTTCTCCAGTACAACCATGAATCTGGACAGTTCCTAAGAACTCTCTAACACGTGTCTTAACATCCTATCATTATCATGATGTGATCCAGTACTAAGTATACCTATCACCACATCACTGGCAAACTATTAAACTTAACTCCCATCCATATGTCAACCTTAAAGTCTCTTTATTTCTTTTGGAAATAGAACAATTACAAATCATTAAAAAAAAAAAACAAAAAAAAACACTTTTGGCAGTATAAGGCCCTCAACATCATCACAACACTTTCTCTACATCATGAGTCTTTTGCCCTTTTACTGTGTTACAAATCTTCCTTCCCCAAGTCACTTATACTCTGAGGAAACCAAATTTTGAGTCTAGGTTTGATACTTTATCCCCATGTGATCTCTACCTTCTAAATTTGATTCCTCATTTATAAAATAAGAATTCTTTCCTTTGCCTATTTCACAATCTATGTAAATTTGGGATTTCTTTGTAATGAAATTTTGATTACTATGAAAAGTGATTACTATGAAAGCATGAGTACTGTTTAGATGTCAGAAGTTATACAGAACTCTGCATAAATGCATGTTTCCTCAACCTTAGACAATCACATCATCAATCTAAATTGCAGAATTTTATGAACCACTAGAAATAACTTTTTAAATTAAAAATAAGGTTGTCACTTTTTATTCTGGTAAATAAGGCCATTTTTTAAAAAACTCACCACCTACTGTAACTATTATCTGTGAGACACCAAAAAAGGAGGAATGATAATCACAGAATAAATTTATTAAAAACTCACTATGCTGTCTTTATTGCCATGGATGAAAACTATCATGGATTGGGTCCTTGGTCCAGTGTTTAGGAACCACTACTGCAAACCCTGTGATATACATATAAGTTCAATAGAGTTCTGACTGTCTGACGGCCTGCTCAGGATTCCACTAGTATGAAGACCTACTTGGCCTCCAGTGAAAATATACCACAGGATAGAATAGTTGCCTCTAACACTGACACTCTGGATCAGACTGGGGACTAAGGCAGTGAAGAATGTTGGTAGGAAAGACCTAACTCTTCCTGAGTTTGGGGGAAGTCAAGACATCGCAACTACATGGCAGACTGTCAGTAGTGTGAAAGTGGCCATTATCACTGGGTGGTACTCCAACTTGCCAAGTTTTAAATGTGTGCATAGGTTGGTGGAGAAGAGGACTTATAAAATATTAATAAAGTAAACACAATACGGGGTGTGGTGGGAGGGATAAATGGCAAAAGAGTAGGATAAAATTTGGGGGGATGGCAGAAATGTTTATTAGAATGAGATGGTTTCACAATTGTATACATACATCAAAACTCATCAAAAGTACATTTTAAATATACATAAATTTATCTCAATCAACTTACTTTTTTAAAACTTAACTCTAAGAAAAGGAGAGCAGGCCATCCTGTTTGGGAGCCTAAATACAATGCTGTAAGTGACAAACCATGTGACTTCCATTAAAGGTAGAATTAGCAACTGTAAGTGGGCAGTCCAATATTGATGACAGTCATAGGTAAGACTCAAGAGTGGAGTAAAGTTATCCAGAAGCAGGCAGACAGAAAACAAACACAAGCAGCCATAAAAAAAAGAAAAAGAACAACTCTCATGAGAGAGTCCACCTTCATGAGAGCTCACCTTCAAATTTACAGTGGAAAGGAGGAACTCTAGGGAACTGGGGTTTTTATTACTCTGCTGATGACTGAGTCTCAAAAAATGACTTTTGTTATCATGGATACCATTGCCCAAGATGCCTTCACCCCTTCCCCCCCCCCAAAAAAAAATATATATAGGATCCATGGTTGCAGAGGAGCCAAGTGCACACCTCCACCCAAGCTGTCCTACTTGGTCTAAAACTAATCCTCTCACTGGACAAGCCAGTGCATCCAAGGAGACCCCAGAACCCACCTCATACCCCTACCACAACCCTCATTCCCTTCTCCCTAGCCCTACCTTCTACTCCCTCATTAATCCACCGCCACCCACCGCAATCTCCCGCCTTTGCTCTGTACTCTCCCTCTCCTCGCACAGGCCTTACCGCCCTCGCTCTGGTCCAGGACTGTCCCTCACCCTGGCCCTCAGTAGCCCCAGTCCCTTAGGAAAGCGTTCTCACGAGCTCCTTCAACTTGGCCCCTCGAAAAGCACCCAAGCGTCTCACATAGCCAGACTCTTACTTGTCCACTCACCCTTAGGCTCTAACTCTGCTGCCCTACCTTAGACACTCACAAGCCCCTCACCACCTGCCAACCCTTCACCCTAAGCTCTCACAACCAATAGTTACCACACCCGGGGACATCACTCCTATTCCCTCAACCTTTTACATGCCTCTCCGGACCCTCTGGCCCACGCATACCGTTCACTCACAGAACGCCAACCCTGAGCGGGCCCTGTCGTCGCGGCAGGGATAGGTGAGTTCAGGCCGCCGCCATCGCTCCTCAGGCGCACCAGCCGCGCCCCGCCCCGCGCCACACGCAGCCCGCGCCCCCGCGCACCACACGTAAACGCCCAGCGACGCACAACCGGGCAATGGCGTGCCAGCTCATTGGCTGGAGCAAGCCAGAGTCGGAGCGTCGACGCTTTGTTTCCTAGCAACGGCTGAGCGCAGGGGCGGAGTCGCCGACGGCATTCCAAGGAAGGAATACCGCCTCTCCTTCCCAGGTTCCGCCCCTTCGCACTGTAAACCCGCCCATAAGAAGGACTCCAGAGTGTCACAGGAGCAGACCTCTTGGAGAGGTGGAGACCCGCAGAGCGGGGGCGGAGCCTGGGGAGGAAAGGTCGAACCAGAGGGCAGAAGGCAGGACCTAAGGAGGGAAGAGACTTTCTAAGGCAGGGAAAGACCAGAAGGGCGGGGCTTAGGAAGGGATGGGGCAGAGAGAGAGACTAGAGCTCTGGGGGCATGGCCACGAGTCCTGGGCGAAGTTTAGAGTGGAGGAGTGGGCGTGGTTATCCCTAAACTGTAGTCTGGGGGAGGAGTCAGTAGGTGGGCGGGCCCTGTGGGAAAGCAGAGCCTCCGAGAGCGCTGACTGCAAACCAGCAGTTTTGCTCTACCTGCGCACGTAGCTTAGATTCTACCTTAGTACCCCAGCAATAACCAGCAATCCCTGGATCCCCCAGTGTCTCCATGTTGGGTACTGTTTTAGTCAGTCAAGTAACATGGAATAAATGCCTCAATGACAGTCTAGATTCTAGATCAATTAGAACGGGTCTCTGCTCTCCAGAACTCCTAACCAGACACAGACAATTGCAATGTAGTGTCATAAGGGCTATAACAGGAGAACCATCTGAAAGCAGCATTTAGCATTTAGTTTCTTTTAAAGAATTGTATCAATGTTGTCCGGTTTTAATAATTGTTCTATGGTTATATAAGATGATAACGTTAGAAGATGCTAAGGAGTTCCACACCTTTTTGAAATATTTTTGCAACTTTTCCTTAAGCGTAAAATTAGGTTAAAATAAAAATTATTTTAAAAAAATAAATGGAAGTTGCAGGACAAACGATTAGTACTGCAAGAGTGAATGGACAACATGTGGGAAATGCTCAGGAACTGCAATTAATACAGAGTATCTGGAGCCCAGGGAACATTCACAGGAAAGGTCAGATGATGCTGAAGACAGGGGCGGGGACAGATGTAGGCCATGTTAAGAGTTTAGATTTTATCTTTGGTACAAGAGAGCTATAAAGAGTTTTTTAAGTGGTCAGATTGCTAATGAGGGTACCTTTGCAAAAGCTGTTAAGAGTTGGTAAGGGGGCTGTAGGAGCAGCTCAAGCAGTAGAGCAACTGCTTGCAAGCAGTCTCCTGCTTGCAAGCAGGAAACCCTGAGTTCAAAGCCCAATACCACCAAAATAAATAAATAAATAAGAGTTGGTAAAGCCCGAAGTAGGATGGCAAAAATACAGAGAAGTAAACATGTGGACATTAGAAGTGCTTAATGATTGGGTGAACATTAAAGGAAAGAGGAAGTATTAAATCCTGATAGCTTATATAAATTCAAAAATAAGCAAAACTGATCATGGTTGGAATACGAAACTTTCTGGGTTCAGCAGATACCAGGACAGGGCACTATAGGGACAGGGTTCTGACTGTCTTAAACTTCTTCTGGTGCAAGTGTGATGGCTATCAACAACAAAACCAATAAAGCAGGCTAGGGATCTAGTGAAAAGTCATTTAATGTAAAGAGTAAATCAAAGAACTAACACAGAAAACAATCAGTTGAAAACACCAGCCAGTACTAAGCAGCTCACTCAGTTCCCAATCCAGTTGCAGACTGGCTCCCCTCCTGTCACCATGCTGCCACACAGGTCAATACAGCCCCCACCCACCCACCCACACAGCCAGCATCCCAGGGCTCAGGGCCAATTGCATAACCTCCTATGCCCTGACAGAACTGGCTGCTGCTGTCTGAAATGAACAGACCAAGGAAATGAGCTAGGAAGAATTGCCTCCACGGTCACCCATTTCATTGCTCACTGCACAAGTTTTTCAAATAAGCTTGTTCAATATCTGAAAAATGATCAATTTTAGCTAGTGAATGGATTTCCCAGTGGCAGTTCTGCATTTTACCTGTATAGTAGCTATATCCATATGTTTCTGTGCATGTTCTCTATGCATTTGTAAGGCATCATTGTGTTTAATTGTAGTACTTGTCAACTTTCAATAAAGCATATAAAATGTTGATTTTAAAAAAGCAGGAAAACTAAACTATGATAGTAGAAGCTGGGGTAGTGATTACACTTGGAAAAATGTTGACTAAGAAGGAAAAGTATGACTCTTGAGGTTGATAATATTCTGTTTTTTAATCTGAGTGCTGATTACATGGGTATGATAATTTGTGAAATTTTATCAGGTTAAATATTTAGTAAATGTTCACTTGCTATGTTCGTTTGTTGTGGTTACTGTGCTGGGTGTGTTAGTTTCCCATCACTATGACAAAATACCTGGGATAAACAAAAGAAGAAAAGGTTGATTTTGGCTCACAATTTCACAGTTTCAGTCCATGGTCACTTGGGCCTGCTACCTTTGGGCCTGTGATGAGGCAGAACACTATGGGCAGGGGGCTCACCTCATGGAAGCCAGGAAGCAAGGAAGAAGAGGGGAAAGGACCAGGTTCCCAATACTCAATTCAAGGGCATGTCCCCAGTGATCTATCCTTCTACTAGGCCTAATCTCCTAAAGGTTCCACCATCTTCCAAAACTGCTATCAACTGCCAATCAAGCACTCAACACATGGCCTTTGGGGGATATTTAAAATCTAAACAACAACTCTGGATAACAATCCACCCCAACTTAGTGTCAGAAAAGAAGAGCCATTTTATTATGCTTCCAGATTCTGAGAATTACAAAAGAAATGGCAGGAATGATTTGGTTTTGGTTCATAATGTCTATAGCCTCACTTAGGAAGCTCAAAGGTGTGGGGATGGTTTGATGGCCAGAATTACCTGGAAGCTTCTTCAGTCACAGAATACCTAGGCTGGGACAACTAGCCTAGGCTGAACTCAGCTGGGACTGCCAAACAAAGACTCTCACAAAGTGGTGATGAGGTTCCAAGAGAGAGCATCCTGAGAGAGCATCTGACAAGCATTCCAAAAGGACCATAAGGAAGCAACATGGTTTTTTATGATCTAACCTCATAAGCTATACAACGTCACTCTCGTTATACTCTTTTGGTTGAACCAGTCACAGGGGAACAACATCAAAGAATTTGCAGCTATTTTGTTTTAATATCCACAAGGTTATATAATAATGATAAGTACTTGTCATGGGTTCTGAGATGAAAGGACAGATACAGGGATTATAGGACAATGAGTAAGTGAGGGAAGATAATGAACTCAATTACAGATACAATGGGTTGAGGATGACTAAGTGGTAACATCCAGTGTGGATAACTAGCTCAGAGAGAGTTCTTGGGAGACCCAAGATGACAAAGGAAATCTTGTGGGTGACCAAGATCAGTCAGAAAGAGTCTGGAGAATGCAAAGAGAGGAGAGCCTATAATAGAGTTCTAAAAAACACCAATTTAGAAGAGATGAGCAGGGGAGCTTATATAAGACACTAAAAAGAAACAAGAAGCCAAGAAATGATGACTTCACAAAGCCATGGAGAAAAGAGTTTCAAAATATAAAGGACTATAGATGCTTCTTTCAAGAAACTCTCCAGAACTAATAGGTATAGGCAAGGACTTCCTCAATAGAACCCCAACAGCCCAGCAACTAAGAGAAAGAATAGACAAATGGGACTTCATAAAATTAAAAAGCTTCTGTACAACAAAAGAAATAGTCTCTAAACTAAAGAGACCACCCACAGAGTGGGAGAAAATATTTGCTAGCTATACATCAGACAAAGGACTGATAACCAGAATACACAGGGAACTTAAGAAACTAAACTCTCCCAAAATCAATGAACCAATTAAGAAATGGGCAACTGAACTAAATAGAACGTTCTCAAAAGAAGAAATTCAAATGGCCAAACAACACATGAAAAATGCTCACCATCTCTAGCAATAAAGGAAATGCAAATCAAAACCACACTAAGATTCCACCTCACCCCTGTTAGAATAGCCATGATCAAAAGCACCACTGACAACATGTATTGGTGGGATGTGGGGAAAAAAGGACCCTCATACACTGCTGGTGGGAATGCAAACTAGTGCAACCACTCTGGAAAAAAATTTGGAGGCTTCTTAAAAATCTAAACATAGACTTGCAATTTGATCCAGCAATCCCACTCCTGGGGATATACCCAAAGGAATGCAACACAGGTTACTCCAGAGGGACCTGCACACCCACGTTTATTGCAGCGCTACTCACAATAGCCAAGTTATGGAAACAACCAAGATGCCCCACTACTGATGAATGGATTATGAAAATGTGGTACTCGTACACAATGGAATTTTACTCAGCCATGAAGAAGAATGAAATCTTATCATTTGCAAGTAAATGGATGGAAATGGAGAACATCATATTGAGTGAGGTTAGCCAGACTCAGAAGACCAAAAATCGTATGTTCTCCCTCATATACAGTCTTTAGATCTAGGGCAAATACAGCAATGTTGTAGGGCTTGGGTTACATGAAAAGGGGAGAACATATATGGGAGGTACAGGGTTAGATAGAAAACCCAAAACATGAAAGCATTTGATGTCGCCCTTCCAGAGGAATTAATACAGTACAGAAACCTTAAAGTGACAGAGGTCAACATGAGAAGGGCATTTGGAACCAGTGTAAAGATCATTTAGACATGAATCAACCTGAGTTTTAAGACATTTGTACATGAAAGCAATGCTAGGAATCGCTCTGTATAGCTGTCCTTATCTCAAATAGCAAAAATGCTATGTCTTTCTTATTATTGCTTATTTCTACTCTTCAACAGAACTAGAGAAAAGTGCAGAACAGGTTCTGCCTGGTGTGGGGGAGTCGAGGGTTAGGGGGGAGAAATGACCCAAACAATTTATGCACATGTGAATAAATGAATAATAAAAAAGAAACTCTGCAGAAACACAAATCTGACATTTCCCTGTTGTCTTTGAGCAGAACTCAAGCTATATTTCATGACTGACAAAACGCTCCCTGAGCTTGCCCCTGCCCACCATTCAGCATCATCTCTTACCACTACTCCCTTCACCTGTCCTCTTTTCTTAAAAAAAAAATTGATATTACCCTAATAGCCCTTGTTTTTTTTTATGTCTGTGCCTTTGCACACTTTGTACACTCTTCCTCTGATGTTCTCCCTCCCACCTCTACACTTAACTCCTACTCATCCTGCAAAGCCCATCTCAGTTCCTATTACCATAATAGCTACCTATGCATTCACCCATCAGGGCATTCTTCAGTACCTTGGCAATGACTGCCCCAGTATAATTACCTGATGTGTAATTATCTGTCTTCCCTGACCATCTCCCCTACCACACTGGAGGGCAGGTGGTATATACCATTCAATCAGCACAATATTGACCTGGCACATAACAAGAGTTAGGATTATGATTTGTTGACTGAGAAAGATTATAATAGTTGACAGGGACATCTATTTGAGGGAAATTTTATGGGATTTTTGTTTGGGTATGAAAGAGATGCTTCTAGAAAGGGTAAAGTTGAAAGAGGTTGAGGATCCAGAAAATATGTGGAATAACTGGTGGGATCAGGTACTAGAGATAACAAGAAAGGAATGAGGACAAAAGTACCTATTGGATGGTCCCCATCATACCATCCAGCAGGAAGGAGGTTAGGTGGAAATGTATATAGATAAAAGTGCAGATAATAAAAGTATATAGCACTGACAACTGATGTGATAGGTATCTTTTTGTCCCTGAAGACTAGTTTAGCACCTGACACAGATGAGCCACTGGGTAAATAGTTGTTAAATAAGTAATGAGGCCCAAGAAGAGAATTTGCACAAGGTAAAACAGTGTGTGTGAAACAACATTGAAACCCAGGTCTCCTGATGTAGGGGGCACCCATGTAAATTCAGCCTATAGTTAAAGATGAAGGGAAAGAAGCCAGAAACAAGGTCCAAGCTTCCTTCTGAAGCATGCACCCCCCCCACCACCACCACCTTCTCTAGGGATCTCATTAAAAGTGTTCAGCTGGGCAGGTGTAAGCCCAGGCCCTGAGAGACAGGGCGGGGTACCGGAGCTACACTGCCTCCAACCTCTTCAGTAACTGCTAGCCCTGATTGTGTTGCTAAGAGCTTGAAAGACAGAGAGAAGTCACATCAGGAGCCCCAGTGCAGTCTCTTCTAGGAAGTCAGGTTCTACCCACCACCTCGCCACCTACAGGCAGAGGTGTGGATATTGTACACTCCAAGGACCAGGCCACAGAACCATGAGCCAGGACAGCAAAGTGAAGACAACAGAGTCCAGCCCCCCTGCCCAAAAAAAGGCCAGGTGAGGAGTCCTCCTGTGTGTGGAATCTGTCCACCTCACTTCCTGGAGCCTCATTCCTCTTGGTGCTCCCAGTCACAACCACAGCATGAAATATCTGGTAAATAAATGAAACAAGCCCTCCCTTCTCACCCACAGGAAGACACTGCCTGTCCTGGACCCATCTGGAGATTACTACTACTGGTGGCTGAACACGATGGTCTTCCCAGTAATGTATAACCTCATCATCATTGTGTGCAGGTGTGGCAGGGACACTAAAGGAGGGGACTTAAACTGGGAAGAAGGCTAAACTAAAGAGTGAGGCCAGGAGGGGGGAGGGGACCTTTGGGTGGGGCCCAGTGCGGATGGAAGGGCCCAAGGCAGAGTACTGAAGAACCTGGCCTGACGCACCTCACACACAGAAGGCAACTTTAAGCCAATCCCTTCTGTCCCTGACCTGCAGAGCCTGCTTCCCTGACTTGCAGCATGGTTATCTGGTGGCCTGGTTCGTGCTGGACTACACAAGTGACCTGTTGTACCTACTGGACATGGTGGTGCGCTTCCACACGGGTCAGTGAGTCCCTAAGACTGACCCTTTGTTCCATGTTCCCTTGCTTAAGAAAGCCTCTTAGTAACAGGAAGAGCTCCCACCATCATAGCACTTGCACCTGCCTCATTGTGCTTGACAAGGTCAATGTGCTCACACCAGAAACCCTGGAGTGGGTTATGACCACCTCCACCCTCTCACCTACCCTGGTCTGCCCGACCTCACCCATGAATAACTCCAGCCTGTCCTTTCCTTGTCTTTCCCCTAGGATTCTTAGACCAGGGCATCCTGGTGGAGGACAAGGGTAGAATAGCGAGTCGCTACGTTCGCACCTGGAACTTCGTATTGGACCTGGCTTCCCTCATGCCCACCGACGCGGCCTACTCTAGGCTGGGCCCGCACATACCCACACTGAGGCTGAACCGCTTCCTTCGTGTACCACGCCTCTTTGAGGCCTTCGACCGCACAGAGACCCGCACAGCTTACCCAAATGCTTTTCGCATCGCCAAGCTGATGATTTACATTTTTGTTGTCATCCATTGGAACAGCTGTCTATACTTTGCCCTGTCCCGGTACCTGGGCTTTGGGCGTGACGCATGGGTGTACCCAGACCCAGCGCAGCCCGGCTTTGAGCGCCTGCGGCGCCAGTACCTCTACAGCTTTTACTTCTCCACGCTGATCCTGACCACGGTGGGCGATACGCCGCTGCCCGCCCGCGAGGAGGAGTACCTCTTCATGGTGGGTGACTTCCTGCTGGCAGTCATGGGTTTTGCCACCATCATGGGTAGCATGAGTTCTGTCATCTACAACATGAACACTGCAGATGCGGCTTTCTACCCAGACCACGCACTGGTGAAGAAGTACATGAAGCTGCATCGAGTCAACCACAGGCTGGAGCGGCGCGTTATTGACTGGTGAGATGCCAGGTTCCGTGTGAGCACAGGGGAGGTGTGCGGTAGATCTTATTGCATGCTGCATGGAGGCAATCAAAATGTGGCATTCAATGGTACATCTGCAGGATAAGAACTTAAAAAGAGGTGTCCTCCACTAAGAGAATCAGGAGGGGGGAGGAGGGTAAGAAACTAATAGGAAGAACTCATGTGAAAGGAAGGGTGACACAGAGACCAGGGAATAGGAACTGCCACCGTCTGGGAGGAGTCAGAAGGCTCTGGAAGCAGTGAATGGAGAAAGACACTATCCTCCCCAGAGGAGGTCAAAAAATGGTATATTGTAGTAATGCATACTGTGTTCTGAGTAAGAAGTGTCACAAAGTTGGGGAGTCAGCATCAAAGTCATCAAAGAAGATAGGAGCTTGGTGATGGAACAGCTGTAGTGTAAAGGGTAAAAGACATTGTGAAGGGGTGGAGTCTCACAGGAGGCAATGAGTATGTTATTCCTTACCAAGCTGTGGTGGAGGCTTCTATGCCTTGGGTGAAATCAAAGATGTCTATGACAAAGAAAGGAGATCAGCCAACTGCCAGGTACTCTCATGGCCCTTGTGAGACCTCATTGTGGTTGTGCTCTTGTTGAGCTGAGCCCTGACGGAAGGAGTGGAGGCATGCGGGTAAGGAAATGGCCCTACCTTTCTCCCAGGTACCAGCACTTGCAGATCAACAAGAAGATGACCAATGAGGTAGCCATCTTACAACACTTACCCGAGCGACTGCGAGCAGAAGTGGCTGTATCCGTCCACCTGTCTACTCTGAGTCGGGTACAGATCTTCCAGAACTGTGAGTCCAGCCTGCTGGAGGAACTGGTGCTGAAGCTGCAGCCCCAGACCTATTCACCAGGCGAATACGTATGCCGTAAGGGAGATATTGGACGAGAGATGTACATCATCCGCGAGGGTCAACTGGCTGTGGTAGCAGATGATGGTGTCACACAGTATGCTGTGCTTGGTGCAGGGCTCTACTTTGGGGAGATTAGCATCATCAACATCAAAGGTGAGCACCTGAGCATTTGCGCTAGAGAGCACCCTGGGAAAGAGAATGGAGATAGCAGAACCCAGTGCTAGGTTAAGATGGTACTTCAGGGCACATAGATTAAGGAAACTTGGTCCTTACCTGAGTCACCATAAGGCTCAGGAGAGAAGCAGGGCATAGTGTACCTGTTCCTTGAGACAAAGCTGAGCCAAGGTCAGGTTGGGTCTTTGGAAGACAGAGTAGATATGTTCCATCTGTATTAACTGACATACCAACAGAGGTAATAACGGCTACTGTTTATTACATGCTTACTACATGCCCCATGCAAAGTGTTTCCCATGTATCAACTCATTAAATTCTCACACAGTTCTACAAAGTTGGTACTAGCCTTACCTTTTTAAAAAAAGAAGTTGAAGATCAGAGAGGTTTGGTAGCTTGTCCAAGGTTACACAGGTAATGTACACACACTTGAGATCAGTACAAAGAATAATTTTTCTCATAATCAACTGGAAAAATGGTAAATAAGAAATTCCCATTTACTGATCATCAACTCCAAGTCAAGTCAAAGACAGTACACTGTTCATTTTTACCTCTTGTCCATCCTGTGCAGTGGGAAACTACCCTAGTCACAGGGGAAGTACCTAATGCCACAGGAGAGGGAAAAGCCTGAAAAGAGGGTGAGCACTCTGTCACTGAGACTAGATGTGCTCTAGACTGGCTTTCCTACCCTCTAGTGATTTTTTTTTTCAGTACTAGGGTTTGAACTCAGGGTCTACACCTTGAGCCACTCCACCAGTCCTTTTTTGTGTGTGATAGGGTCTTGCAAACTATTTGCTGGGGCTGTCTTTGAACTGCAATTCTCCTGATCTCTGCCTCCTGAGTAGCTAGGATTTCAGGCATGAGCCACTGGTACCTGGCTCCTCTAGTGATTCTGAGGACCTTACATCTGTCCTCCAAGAAACCCCTCAATTCCCTATCATATATGTAGTCTGCTACTGTCTATTTGACTTTGGACAAGTCATTTTCTTCTTAGGCCTCAATTTCCTCAACTATCCAATGAGGATGATATTAAAAATTCAGACGGTTATTTGTGAGATTAAATGAGTTATGCTGGACAGATACCCAGCATGGTGCCTGACACATAGCAAATGGTGCTATCCCTTCCCTTTTCTGAGGTCCTTCTATCTCTGAGACTTTGAGACATTTGCCTAACCTATTTTCCTACTACCCATCAACAACTTTCTGAAGTGCACATGATACCACTGAACTCCCCTGCTTAAAATATTTCAGTAGTTTCCCATTACCCTCAGCATAAAATCTGATCTCCTTGCCATGGCTTAAAAGATCTAGAGTGGCTTGAATCTCTTCTCTCTCCATTCACTCTATACCACTGTGAACTGCATACTGTATTCTGCATCCACTTCTTTTCTACCTCCACCCCTCTGCTCATGTTCCTCCCTCTGGCTCAATTGCCCTCCTACCATCTACTTCACCCCCACCCAGTTCAGATATCCCTTACCAAGTTTGGGTATCCTTTCCTCCAGGCTTCCCTAAATTCCCTACCTTTCAGCTTAATAAGTGTTCTTTGCCTGTCTTCTTATAGTACCCAATTCATGTCTACATTGCACCTGCCACACTATTATGTTCCCATCCCACTGAAGACCAATCTCCTCTAGATTGTGAATTCTTTGAGGCAGGTTATACCCATCCAGCCCAGGGCCTTGTCAGGAGTACATTACAATGAAAGAATTAATGAGGCACAAAAAGAGACTCAGAAGCACAAATGGGCAGGTGGGATCCTGGCTCAGGAGTGAATTGCTACCTTCCCATCCCCCTGCTAAATATCCTCCTATCCATCTGTCCATGGGCCATAGGGAATATGTCTGGGAACCGACGTACAGCCAACATCAAGAGCCTAGGTTATTCGGACCTGTTCTGCCTGAGCAAGGAGGACTTGAAGGAGGTGCTGACTGAGTATCCGCAAGCCCAGACCATCATGGAGGAGAAAGGCCGAGAGATCCTGCTCAAAATGAACAAGTTGGATGTGAATGCTGAGGCAGCTGAGATTGCCCTACAGGAGGCCACAGAGTCCCGGCTGAGAGGCCTTGACGAGCAGCTTGATGACTTACAAACCAAGTTTGCTCGCCTACTGGCTGAGTTAGAGTCCAGCGCACTCAAGATTGCTTACCGCATCGAAAGGCTCGAATGGCAGACCCGAGAGTGGCCCATGTCTGAGTACCTGGCTGAGGCTGATGATGAGAGTGAGCCTGGGGAAGAAACTTCCAAGGATGAAGAGAGAAGAGGTGGCCAAGAGGAACCCCCAGGCCTACCATGACCCCAGGACTCCCACCTTCAGGTGAATCCAGAGTTGTATGAAACCTCTGTCAGCAGAAACTCTGCCATCATATTTGCTAGGTCACAGAGACTTGAGTGAATTGGTCTGTAGATGCTCAGATAGAGATGTGGAGTATAACACACATTCATCCCCCACTCACCAGGACAGAGAAAGAGAGATTAAGAGAGAAAAGCAGAGAGAGACAGAGTCAGAGAAAGAGATATTTATAGAGAGAAAGAGATTGAGAGAGAGAGATACACATATAAATGCTGGTACAAGACTGTGCGTTCCACATAAAATGCTCTGGAGTTTCCATTTTTCAGAATTCACATGTTTTCTCCTAAAGTATAAAAATAACTTATATCCACATAGTATATGCACATTCAGTCATGTACCTCTTAAACACACATGAGCTGACAGCAGGAGACACATAGGTACTCTCACACCTGTGCATATGCTTGTGGAAACAAAATCACACCCACAGCCTTCTTGAATGCTCCCTATATGGGTGGTTTGCAAGTGTACCCTGCAAGTTGCCTCCTCATTAAGCATTTGGAGCCTGAAAAGAAAAATGTAAAGCCAGTGGTGGGACAGGATGAATTCTATCAGAATTCTTAATCATAGAGGTGAGAGATATGAGCTGCGTAGTAGCTGGTAGGTTGTATTAAAAAGTTGAGGTACCTGGAGAATAGAGAATCAGTACTGAACCAAGGTGAAGCAGGCTTATGCATGATACTTCTATAAATGTGCACATGCTTTCATAGATATATTCACATACACCTACTGGCCATAGCATCCTACACTATAGTCGTGTTCTCAACTCTGTATGCTGAGAGGTTTTGTCTAGTTTAGTGACCAGAGCAGATATTGCTTCTTCTTTTTCCGTCTCCTGACCCAGCCCTAAAGCACAAGACCAAGGCCTCCCTGCATTCTGGGCTGTTTCCATGGGAAGAATCATTCCCAGTACCCTAGCCAAGCCCTGTCCTACCCTCGCCAGTTGTTAGAACTGGCCTTGGTGCTGGCAAAAACTCAACTCTCCATTTTGCATGGTATTCCAAAATACAGGGTGAATGGTAGAGACTAGATGGAGTGGAATATCATGGTCAAGGATATTAGAAATTAAGGTGAACAGGTCAGGAGTTTTGGAGTAACTTTGGTACACTTGAAGGAGGTTGCTGGTTTGGGGCAGGGAAGGTATTGGGTCTATAGAGAAATCTGATATCATTTCTGAAACACATTTACCAAGTCACCATTTAAGCTCCTCCAGGGCAGGATCAGTCTTCAGGTTTGACCTGTGCCAGGTAGTGTTTTTAAATGAAACTGGGATTTAATTTATAGGTGTTTCTTCATCTTCAAACCAACCAAGGCACATTAAATCTCATTTTTTAAGCCTTCCACTTCATCTACTACCAGGCTGAGAATGATCTCTTCTCTTTAGGGCTCATCTGGTTAGATTAGGTCCACTTGAATAATCCATAATAATTTTCCTGTTTCAAGGTCAAATGACTAGTAACCTTAATTACAGCTGCAAAGTCCTTTTTGCCATATTGACAGGGATAACACCAGAAGGCAAAGGCAACAGGAACCAAAAGTCTGTTGATCACAGTCTCTGGGAAGTCAAACCACCTGTACCCCATTTTTGCAGAGGGCACAGAATAGGGAGAAATATGACTTGAGTCTTTGGAAACCAGAGAAGCATCACTCTGCTGAGAGCACCCTGTAGGAATGTGCAGGTTTGAAAAAGGCACATACCAATATAACCACCATGGTCTGAAAACCAGGGGCCTTGCCCTAAATGTCCAGAGACTTTTGCAAAACCCTAAACTGGGGAAGAGAGAATAAAAAGAATGTCACAAAACACAACTGAGATTAAATCTCCAAAGAGGTATATAGTTAAAAAGCTTATATAAAGCCAAGATTTGGTGGCTCAGACCTGTAATTCTAGCTACTTGGGAGACTGAGATTGGGAGGACTGTGGTTCAAAGCCAGCCCTGGCAAATACTCATGAGACCCCCATCTCCAAAATAATCAGACTAAAGGTGTGACTCAAGCAGTAGAGCGCCTGCTTTGCAATCACAAAGCCCTGAGTTCAAACCACAGTCCCTCAAAAAAAAAAAAAGCTTAAATGAAAATTGCAAAAAACAAAGAAATGTACAACTTTTTACACACTGTTATAGAATCATTCATAACTGTTAGACACATACATTATGTCATTTTGTTCTTATAACAACATGAGGAATTTTACATTATTACTATGCTCGTTTTTCCAGATCAGGAAACTGAAGCCCATAGAGCAACTAAAAATACAAGATTTGATTTATTGAGAAGTAATTTCATACATGCCAGGTCCTGGGCAAGTGCATTGTTGCAGTTAATTCTTGCAAACACATGAAAAAGATGCTATTATTTCCCCTGTTCTGTAATGAAGAAACTGAGACTCTGGCATTAGATCACTTGCTCAATATCACAGGCTTCCTAAATCACATACAGTGAAACCCAAGTCTGTCATACTTTCTCTTGTAGAGAGATAAGGAAAGAGACCATCTTGGCTTGATGCCAAAGCCAGGCAAGCTCCTTCCTCTGTTGGGAATGACTGTTGACTGTTGTGAGCAGTAACCGTGGTAACCAGGAGAGATGGAGCTAGTTGTGCAAGGCACAGCTTTTAAATCACTGGCAAGGCTGCCCAGTATGATGAAGTGTGATCTTGGGGTTGCAGCCAAAGACAAGGGACCACCTACTGCTTTGGAAAAGAGCTGCCAATTCTAGTTGGATATAGAAGGAACTTGTACACACACAACTGTGAGAGGTGGGCAGGGGTTTTGGAGTGGCTACTAAATTTCCATGGGGTGTCAAGACCATTCAAGGGCCCTCCTGCTAATAGCACAGCTGCTTAAAGCTTAGCTCTTTTCCCTCTTGCAGGACCTAGGGCCCCACCCACTTCTTTCTTTGGGTCATGACTACAGGATACCTCCGCCTGGTTAGGATTTAGGATGTACATCCTTCCTCAGTGGTCCCAGTTAGCTACTCCCCTAAAGGAGGTTCTTGAGCCCACCCCACCCTTTTCTTTCTTAGTGTTTGGCTGCTAGCCTTGGAAGGCAGATGGAAACAACATCAAGCTTGGAAGGAAGTCAGATTCATAGGGAGAGGGATTATTCAACCCAAAAGATGTAGTACATGCCAGAAGACAGGAACAGGAGGCAAGAAGGTGGATGCTGGTTTAAACCAGAGATTAGAATCAGAGATGGATTGTCAAAATGGCATCAGAGTCATGGCCCAAATCAGGGCATGTGTTAGGCTGGTCTTAAAGTACAACAGATGGGAAGAGCATGTAAATAGAAAAGATCGGAGTTGGATTTTGGTTCCAAAATATCAGTTACTAACTGGGGAACTCTCAGCCTGTTCTACAAAATTTTTCAGGGTTGTTGAGAGCAAATATTGGAGAATTAAAATGTAAATGAGAAAATGAATGTAAACTGCCTACCAGTGCCCAGCAGACAGTAATTTCTTAATAATGAATAGCAGTTATGACTATTACTCATATCCCTCTAGCAGCCCTTTTGCCTCGGAGTATTCTGGGGCATAGGTTGCCCAATCCTTCTTGGCCCAGGCTTCAGGGGCCTCTGGACTGTGTTGATGATGCCAGCCCTGGCCAGCAGAGGGTGCAAGGCAAACCTTTCCTGTCCTTCCAACTCCCTCTCGGGCTTCAGGATTGCATTGCTTTGAAAAGCTGGGAGAATTATCCAGGTAGAAACAGAATCTTAGGGACAAAGAATGATATTGGGAAATTGTGATCTCAACAGGTTTGCAACAACCTTGTTCAGACTTTTTCACAAGGATAAAAATACATCAGAGCATAAAGTAATCCAGTTGAGGGCAGCACTGATGAATGGCTGGAAATACGCAGAACTGCCCTTCTCATAGATCAAAAATTCCTTGTGCTTTTCACCCCCAAACGCATGGACCCAGAGACCCATGGACCCTTTCCTGCCCTTGCCTTTCCATTTTCAGTACTTCAGCCTGTTGCTGTCTTGGTCTTTCCTTTTTCTAGCAGGTCCCACTTGGGGCATTCATGGAAGCCTTCTCCATGCTCTCACTTAAGGAAGTTTTTACCCTCAAGTGAGGCCCTAACTTGGAAGATCCAGGCCCTCCTAGCCCACCTGTGGGAGCCTACAACTAAAGGCAAGTATGACAACCTAGCCAGAGCCAGCCCCTGCTTCTGCTCCTCCCACCCCTGCCTCCCCAACCCTACCCCCCCGCCCCACACACACACACAAAGCAAGGGACCAAGAAAGCAGGTCCTATCCATGATTTCTTTTCACTGCCCAATATCTCTGCCTGCCTATTCTGGCTTCTCAGACTGCTCCCTCTTTGTTTAATTATCCCAAGAGAAGAGCCTCCTGCGTGGGCAGGGATTGCGTAGGCAGGAGCTCAGCACAGAAGCATATCAGTATATCATAGAAATGCAAAGAAGAGAAGGCCTTGAAAGATGTGGAGAGAAGGCAATCTAATCAGACACAGAGAGAGGGGCTGGGGAAATGGGAAAGGGGCAAGCTGGGTACCTCTAGGACTAAACTTCTACTGGTTATGCTCCTGGAATGGATCCTAGCTGCACATGTGTGCATTAGTTCCAGGGGCACTGGAGATAGAAACTCCACTATTGCATGTGTAAACACTGGGTTTCCTGGGTAAAGTGTTAATATTTTGTGGCCCTGCAAGCTACTTAGAAAAAGCAGTACCTTATGAAATAGTTTGTCTGGCTGTACATTAGGCACTATATTCTCCACTCTTTGACTGTTTCTCCTGAACATTTACTGAAGCATTATGTGTTTCTCCTTACCTCAGTTATGATAAAGCATATTGAAAGAAGAACCATGTGCCCATACTGGCCCACTTGGGCCAATGGGTCAGTAACATGGGTGACTATAACTTCCCCATGGGAAATGTAAATAGCTGTAGCAGTAACATCATGATCCTGATGCCCCCCCCCTAAAGAAAATCAAAACAAAACAAAAATCAAAGAACAGGCAACCTTGGCAGGTCAAGGCTTGAGTTAGAAAGGCAGCTTCTCTCAGGACTGAACCTGGCCCTCCTTCAAAACCTTTCGCACTTGCTTCTCGATCTCTGACTTTGCATTTCTGACTTATTCCAGGTAGAGGATCCATGTCTCT